TCGTTTTATCTACTTTAGCTACAGAGTCCTAATAACCAAATCCTACGGTACTGGGTTCAAGTCCCAAAGTGAACATCAACTCTGAAATGTGGGTACATCCATCTAACAAGTCCCAAATAGAATGAAACGCGCTTCCTGGTTTCCATTATTAACCACTATCCATCTTTGCTTAAATTATATAACAGTTTTATAACAATCAGTTTTATAGAATACCAGTCAAATTTCTATTCGATCAGTTATCCAACCATAAGAACTGTTACTTGTTTGTCAAATTCCCTAACTAATATATTTTTAAAACAAAAATAAAAATACTCACATGATTATTCACATACTTTTTTTTTATAATTATTTCCCTCTCTTCTTTTCCTTGTCCCCTTGTATTCACCCTTACAAATTCATTTCCATTCCTAAATCATATACTAATGCACTAACAAAAAAATTTGACTTTCTATTTATGCTATTTTTAGACCATTTTATGTTAATGTTTCAGTGATTAAAAGAAAAAGAAAAAGTACAAAAAAAAAGAGAACATTTGTTTAATTTATTCTTTAAGTAACAAAATTGTAAAAATGTCATATACATTAATAAAAGATAAAATACATTTCCCTACTTTAAATATGTACATAATTCATAATTATTTAGGAACGGATTAAGGGTTACCTCTCCCCCCTCACACACACACACACTTTTTTTTAAAAGAATAAAGTAATTGATTATGATTAGTATTATTACCTTTTTTTTACTGTAAAACAACTGTCATTAATTGTAATTTACCTTTCAAGCTGAGAATGTAGTTTGAATATTTGCTTCTACTTCTTAATGGAAAAGTAATGAGAGAAACAATTATATCTAATCATTGCTTAAATGTTAATTATAAGTTACTTAATATGAAACATATTTAAATTATAGTATCTAAAGGTGTATTTATGTATTCAATCAACCGTATGTTATGCTACAGAGGTATATGGTGATCTGTTACTTTTTAGCTGCCTATAAAGTCGAAAGATGCTTCTTCGTGTGTGGCCTGAAAAAAAAACTGATTTAGGATTGGTCTTGATAACCTGGGAGCAATACCCGATGGATAGTTGCTTATGTGAATGGTTTTAGATTTGTTAACTATATACTTTGAAGGCCTAATCGCTAATATCAGTAACCTGTGGGGCAAAGTGAGTTGTGACAGTTTCGTGATTGAAGTTTTCTAAACCATCCTTCCGTTAATAAAAAGTAAATATTTCTGGAGATGGTGGTTATCTAAAGTAAAGAGATTAGTGTCATCATATCCTACTACATTTGGCCGCAAGACTTTACCCTGGAGTGGTAACTTTCTGCTTTTGTCATTACTTCTATTCGGCCTCATTATCTGACATTGTAAGATAAAGAAACACGAGTTTCATCCAATGTAGTCTGATTTAATTGACTGATTAGTTTGAACGCATAAACATTGGTACAAGGAGGCACCAAAGACATATACGCCACACAATAGCAATGAGGTTGTGAATAGATAGAGAATGTAAAGTGCGTATAATAAAAAGAGAACAACAACGAATAGAAATTAGTGTATGAATGTAGTTTGATTTTGCTATTACATTAGACAAGTTCAAATAACACAGTTGGAGTATGTATATGCATCTGATTATTATCCAAAATCCAGTGATCACATGTAGCCTTGAATGAAACTAAATAATCTATCAAAAGTTTGAATTAGCTCTGTAAAGTAAATTAGCGACATTCTCAATAAACACCTAATTAAAAATGGACATTAATGACAATCAAAAATACGATTTTTAAAGTGAAACGCAGTTTTCTGTACAGAATTAAGTATCGTGACAGTAATTCTGTTTATACAGGTTAGAAAGTTAGACATTTGTTATTGCAGCTGACAGATTTCATACTCTTTGAAGATGAATCATTTACAACATAGTTATCATTCGTGAAGACCATCTAAATAGCAGCAACTCAATTACTCAAACTGTGACGACGGACCACGGGTGAACTCGAGGAAGCTATAAGAGGCTCAGAAGGAGCCGAAGATATTCCATCCAATCACCGTTAGGAAGGATATTCTAGAATCCCTACGTGTAGCTTCCCGATTGGATAAGGCTAATAACCCCCTGTATGCGGATCGGAGGACTATAATGATGATTTTTGTTCTTACTAAAACTATAAATGCCTGACAATTTGTACCCATAATTGACACTGTTTGGAATAACATTCCTTTCACTAGTCTTCTGTCTTCTCTTTGCGACTTGGAAGGGTTTGGGCGTTCGTGTGTTCAGTTGTACGCGTTATATCAAGTAAATCAACCACATCTAGATATAACACAAACTTTTACTACTAAAGATATGAAATCATAACCGTTGATCAAATTAACATCCATCTGGATTCAGAGGACAACACGCTGAGGGTCTTCAGCAAAGGTTAGTGGATTCGAATCCCAGTGTGAACATCAATACTACAATACAAATGCATACAGCTAACGCGAATAAATGAGATAAAACGCGCGTTAATGTTTCCACAACTAGCCACGATCCATCTTTTTCAAGCAAAAACAATTCTAGTCATCATTTGTACTTTTAACCATTAAGTGTAAAGGTTATTTCGAAGTCATGTGTATAGATAACATTACTTTAAGTATAAGTTTATGAATATTCTTCATTACTTCACATGATTATTTTACTAAAAGAAAGAAAAAATACTTCCCACATTAGTACAATCTAATCTTACAGGCGGACCTACAACGTCAATCTTCTATTTCTACATCAAATGTTATATTTGAATGCAAATTAACAAACGAGCAATATTGATGGTGATGGCAGATAAACTAAATATTACCTTATTTCAATCAGTCATATAATTTTATATATACGTGTTTGTTGTCGACAAAGTCCACTTCAAATTACACACTGTGAATTTGAAATACTCGAAAATGTGAGAATCAATTTATCTCATTAGTGTAGTGGATTCGTGAATGACATTTCAGAGTAACTAATCAGTTTTGTAGTGAATAAGTGTTTTTAGTATTTGACAATGCAGCATGTTTGAAGAGTGATTCAACTTCGGTTACCAATAGATAATCGATTAATGGTAGATAAAAATGTCGTATTCTCACCAATAAACCACATATCCGAACTAGAATCGGTTCATGTTAGAAACAGTTCTCACACACAATATAACTCCTCGTCGAATACTTAGACCTTAACTCTGTAAACAAGTCATGTTTGATTTGTTTATAACATTTTGCATTAGAGGGTTTTATTCAATAATTGTTAAGTGGTAATAATCTGGAAACTAAACTTATGATTTATGTGACTATAACTTTTAGACTGTAATATGGAACAGAAAATATATCTCTTTAGTCTCATATCACATCCGTCTAAATTGGGAAAGGATGGCGCGATAATCCCCTCTTTGGAACTTTTTTATATTACGTACTTCGATAGTTAGTCATCCACTAATATTCACTCAGTAATTTGATTTTGTTCAGTCTTATAAAATGATTGTGTAATAGTTTAAGTTCACCATGATTGGTGGTATTCATAACGTCACCTATTCTTCATCATTTCATAATGAGACAGCAGTGCCAAATAATACGTTTAGTGTCATTGTTTAGATCTTCTCACTCATATCAAAACCCAAATTTGCCCGTGAAGTAGGTCAGTTAGTTATCATCGTAACAATCTGATACAGACAAGAAAAGTTATATAGATGTATTGTATGTTACATGATTGAAAGCAGTCGCTAAGTAGCCTTCATTTCATGTTTTTTGTCGACCGATACTCATCAACAATGCTTATCTTCAGCGTTCATGTAGTCGTGCAATTCATTGAATTCCGATCCGTCTCGTTTAGTGACTATGGAATTCAGTCACTACTGAGGCTTAGATACCCACAGTTTCGTTGCCATTACTGTTGTTGTCTTTGTTAAACAAATTATCCTATTCACGTTGGACAAGCAATAATGCAAACAATTGTGCAGCATATACTTTTACCAATTTTCGATCTGATGATATTCGCCATTGTCTACAACTTCATTCTAGTAGTTATATCTATCTATGAACATGACAAACAGAATTCCGGAAATTGTTTCTCGTTTCTGTGAGAAATTCAAAACCGAACCGCGTTTATCCTTCATCACATTATATTTTCGATAGATTTAACTTGATATAGTGCCTAGAACGTTCAGATTTGTCGTAATGGAATAAAATTAATAATGTTAAACACATCAATTGTTAACTTATTATACATAGACTATAAAACACTAGATCCGATTACTTTTCGTTTCAATGTAGTTTATTTATAGAAAAAATTAGTAAATGAAATCAATTTATTATTGATTCATTGAACAATAGATGGGCTGGTAAAGTTGTAGTCCTAAAATAAATGGTGATTATCCTCCATGACTTCTTTATATCATTATGGAGACGAAGATTGTTCTTCTATAACACTCATTTCCATAACGTTTCTTTAAATTCACTAATAAAAACTTGTTGGGCGAAGACCGACTTATGTGAAACTATTTATTGTTTATTTATCATTATAACTCTGAAGAAGATTTTTTATAGCAAGTATCATTCATTATGTTGCAAAATACTTTATTATTTCCAGAGACTGACTGTCTGAGAAGTGGTTGGAAAACCACACGATCATCTCCAAGGATCATTCAACCATAGTATGCTTTTACCTTATTGTTTAAACTAATACTATTTAACACTAATCCTCGTAGTTACACACAAAAACTACACCTCAAAACTGAATTCATAGACGATAACTAGTGTTATTCGAGTAATTTACAAAATAACCTAGTTAATTTTCAAGTCATATCATTCTGATTGATGTACTTTGATGAATGTCTTCAATCAATTAATTAATTATATATACGTATATAATTCAGTCTTTGTATCATGAAGGTTCTGTCTTGTTTAATAAGTAAACTACACTAATCATCTTGATTTACAATCAATTTTTTGTGTGTTTTTTTCATTTCTACTCATAAAATTTTAGGCGTTTACGTTCTACGCTTCAACTTTGTGACAGAATTGTTATATGCTTGTTTATAGCAGCCTCATATACTCCATGGTAAGTTGCTTTCTATTTCAGTAACCATTCATCAACTTATGCTTAATGATGCTCGACTTTAAGTGCAATTTTTTGACTTGTCGAACTAGTTTCAACTCTTTCAATCAATATATTCTCATGAAAGTCTGTATTTCATTACAACGTATAATGAAGACTATGAAGTTGTGCACTGTGACCGAGTTAAACTTCATAACAATTTATTGCGTTAGATTTGTTCAACTTCTCCACGTTTATTTACTGCGTACTCACATAGACGTGGAGAAAACAGATTATATAATTTCCCCTGTTCAATGAACAGTAGCGACAAGAACAAGTTTCTTGTGAACACCTAAAGTGTAAACACAAAAACACTGTTCTATTCTTTCAGATATAAAATGACGTTTATCAGCTTGATTTGTGAAAAGCAAGTGAAGTCACTGTGCAATATGATTGCTTCATCCATCCAAGGTATATCATCAACCTTAGATAAACACAACTGTTATGGTTGACAGAATCATGGCACTACTAGGAAAACATTTTTGAATTAATCAAATAAAGAATTCTGCTTTGCTGCAGTGATTCAAAATTAATTTATTCTACAAATCCTTTTCACCACATTATTGATCTTAAAATCAATGTTGTGGGTTCCATTAATAGTATATTCGTAATAACTCACTGTTGACGATCCCCATACTGAAACAATCATCCATCTCTCACTCTAATTGATATTAGTCTGTAGTATATATTTTTTTCAGATTCACTCCAGTCTTTCTATTGCACTCTCTTATCACTATCACTGACGTTTTCTTCTTGTTGTGTTTTTCATTTCATTGTATTCATATTATGTATTTATCGTGTGATATACATCGACCAATATCACATTAGTTACATCTTATCTCTAGAAAGTTCTAATTCAATCCAACTGTCACAAGTTTACAAATGTGAGGAGCATGGTTTCAATTATTTTGTTTTCGTTGACTTAAGAATAAAGAAAATATGTTTGTTTATGTCTCTTTACCTTTTCATTAGGTTTCCATTATAAAATAATAATGTGATTATTAGTGTTATAAATTAGGTCAACTTCAAAATTGTTAGGTAATATATATGGGTGTTTATGTACACATTATCTGTTCATTGTTTTCATTTGACCGCGGAATAATTTACAACTATTTATTAAATAACGTGACTTGAATCTCTCTCTCTCTCTCTCTATGTGTGTAAGTGTGTCTATCTCTAATTGACTTTCAGTCTACTTTCATAACACTAGTTATTCGTCGAATCTTCACCTTTTTTTAAAAGTTATTCATTATCAACCTAGAGCGTTGAACAAACGTGTGTCAGAACGAATTCTCATAATACATTAGCACAATGAGATGAAATCAACAAGGAAATTCAAGTAATGTAATATCAGTGATCATGTGAACGGCTCAACATCGACAATGTGGTTCGAAAAGACGCAGTGGAAAAGTATATATGAAGGAATACTGAAATTCAACTTGTAAAAGAGTGAAATAGAGTAAATACATTTGTGCCATTGTGACCGATTCTGAGACATGTCATCCGAAATCTGCAATAACTAATCGTGCTTATCGCACCGACCTCAGTCACGTAGGAGTCTCTGTCTATTAATATGGCGCGGATCAATAGTCAATAACTTCACAAGTTAATACTATGTCGTGGTTTGACCACCGTCAGCCTCCTTCTATATTATTTCCAACACATGTACATTGTCTTGTAGGAGTTTTGTTGATGTCTTATTAGAGTAGCGTTAGAATAGTAGTTTACTAAAATCTTCATAACAATATAAGTAGTTTTGAAATAGAATTCACATATATGATATGATGTTGAAGGCAGGAATGAAGTGTGGTTATGAGAGATTAGTTTGATTTTAGAGTGATCTACCTATTAGTTATCATACCTTCCTCATATTGTCTATTTGTTAAATAATTGGTTAAATAATGTGGTCGAATCTCGCGGGGGTCGGGATCGTGAATACGCACTGCTAAGAAGTCCCGCAATAGGCCAAAACGGCCGTTCAGTTCTTCCAGATTTTCCATAGTGGTCTAGCTTCAATTGACTCATGATTTCAACTATTGAAATAATTTCTAATTGTGTTTCTTCTTGTCTTGAATACTTTGTTGATAATCGTATTGTTTTTTTCATAGGGAAAATGCATTCTATTTGGCTTGTTTTCTCACTTTATTTCTATTGTACATTTGTTCCAGTATTTCTCATCTTATGATCAAATGTTATCATTCTATCACATTGTTTTGTTTTGTACTTCACCAATCGAACAATATTCTCTATATATTTGTTTTAACAATTTTTTGACCTTTATTTATAAAATTATTATTCATATTAACATGATTTTAATTAGTTGAACAAATAGTTTTTCATGTCATCTCGTTCATTCTGATATCTTTCATGTTACCAATAAAAAGTTTCTAAATGCTACACACAAGGAATAACACATTTATTTATTGATTTCCCAATTTTTAGTTTATACTAATACATTGTATTCAGTATATTGAAATATCAAATTACTTATCTTAATAGTTGGAACTATGTTGTCACCATATACATTGATGATAAAACATATAATTGAAACAGGGCACCGAACTGATATCAATCCAGGTTTAAGAACGCTGTATAGAATTTTTCAGGAACGTATTCTAAAGTTTATGGGAACCTTGGCTATTCGTAAATTTAAACCCTCATTATATCTACAAAAACAAATTTGTCGTAACATTAAAGTTACCCTGGTAATACTTAAGTCATTTTATGGCCTAGGGTAATGCGATAATTTCTTATTCTTTGTATGTAATGTTAATTTTCTCTCCCTTGTATTACTTCGTTTATTTGAACTTTTATTTAATTGACCTTTATTGATTTTCATATAAAATGCCTTGACATGTATGTATGTGATCAGATTGTTCAAAATGTATGGCACAAATGCATCACATTTTTCAGATCAACTCCGTCTTCTCATTTTCTACTTATGCCTGTTACTCGAAATGGAGCATATGCTGCCGACCAGCATTCTCCAACCCACTCTGTCCTGGGTCATCCTTTATAGTTCTATACAATTCTTGTTCACTCTTCTCATATCTGTCTCCATTTCTCGGTGTAATGTGTTCTTTGGTCTTCCTCTCCTTCTTTGACCTTGAGGATTCCATGTGAGTGATTGCCTTGTGATGCGGTTGGGCACTTTCCTCAATGTGTGTTCTATCCACTTCCAACGTTTCTTCCTGATTTCTTCCTCCTCTGGGATCTGGTTTGTTCTCTCCCGCAATAGGTTGTTGCTGACAATATTTGGCCAACGGTTCCGTTGTATTTTGCCTAGACAACTATTAATAAACACCTGTATCTTCTGGATGATGACTTTCGTAGTTCTCCAGGTTTCTGCCTCATACAATAAAACTGTTTTGACATTTGTATTGAAAATCCTGACCTTGATGTTGGTTGGCAATTGTTTTGAGTTCCAGATGTTCTCCAGTTGTAAATATGCTGCTCTTGCTTTTCCGATCCGCGCTTTCACATCTGCATCAGATCCACTGTGTTCATCAATGATACTGCCCAACCGTATTCTCATTACTCTATCGAAATTTATAAAAAGGACTAATTGCTTTAATTGTTGTTACTCTATTTTACTGAATGTTTAGCTTACCATTTACATCGAAATACATAGTTTTTTGTGATATTAGTAGGTAGAAGTAAAATTCAGAGTGTTGAAATAGTCATGACATTCATTTATTTCATAATTATTAGCCATTGTACCAAGCCTTGTCAATACATGTAAACTTCGTTGAATTCTTGTTTATAATTGTAATTTATGTTGGAGAGGTTGGGTTAATTATTACTCACCCTTGAATCATATTTCTTTTGATGGTGATAGATATTGTTATTTTCACTTCTTTGTTGTTTTTTTTTTTTACATTTTGTTAAGCTTTTTACTTGTCACACTCTAAACCTCAAGTTGTTTACACTTAAGTTAGGTGATTCAAGGGAGTTGACAGAAAAACCTTAGACCTAAGTGTTTTGTTTGTTCAAACTTATCGATAGGGTGTACCTACAATGGTGGGGGGGGGAAGTAGTGGTTGTTGCTCTATTTGGACCAGAGTTATCTAGCTCCATAGTATAAGCTATCCGGGCCATGATTAAATTTTTTATAAGATTGAGATATTTATAATTGATTGATCATTGTGTCGATAACCTTTGACCATTCAATATCCCAATATAGTACAGGCGATATTGAATCATGTAATGTTGATAAGACAAGATTTACTAACTAATTATCTGAATCGGTTTAGTTTCAATTAAATCGTTTAAATTAAAATAAAATCTTTCATTTTACATATAAATGCAATGTTCATTTTATTGAATATTCAATGTATGAACTTATAAATATATGTTTATGTATATATATACATATTCTTCCTTTGAGGTTGTTATTACGTGATTTCCATGCATCATGGGGTTTAACTACACTGTGGTCTGTATGGATTGCAGCAATTTTCGGTGGTGCATTCCAATATGTTTATCTAGATAGGTGAGTATTTCGTTTTATTTCAAAATTTCACTGTATATAAATCGGGAATATTTCTAGGTGTTCTTTCTTCTTTAAAGTATTCAGAATGACCAGTTGCTAGGAAATCTGAAAAAATAATTACCGAGTTCTCAAAAAAAAAAAAAAAAAAAAAAAAAAAAAAGATAAACAATAATTTCTTATAGTTAAACTATCAATATGATATTGATTTTACCAACCAAGTAATCATCATGAACTCATTGGTACAATATTACTGATTGTAAGAACTTATTTCTTTACAAAATATATTACTGTGGTATAAAGTTATAGAAAAAAAAGAAGAATGCAATAGAATGGATTTAGAAATTCCGATACAGATACATTTACCTGACGAAATGCGGATTTTGAAACAAAGAAATAAACATAAATAGAAATTGATTAACAAATAGACAACATGAGGAAAGTATGATAACTAATAAGTAGATCACTCTAAAATGGAACTAATCTCTCATAATCAGACTTCATTCCTGCCTTCAACATCATATCATATATGTGAATTCTATTTCAAAACTACTTATATTGTTAAGATGAATTTAGTAAACTACTATTCTAACACTACTCTAATAAGACATCAACAAAACTCCTACAAGACAATGTATATGTGCTGGGAGTAATATGGAAGAAAGCTGACGGTGGTCAAACCACGACATAGTATTAACTTGTGAAGTTATTGACTATTGATCTACGCCATGTTACAAGAAACGAAAACTCATGAAATCCAGTGTTGTGTAGTCTATGTATAAGAAGTTAACACAAATCTGAACGTTCTAGGCACTATATAAAGTTAAATATATCGCACATATAATGTGATGAAGGATAAAAATGATTTGATTTTGAATTTCTCACAGAAACGAGAAATAATTTCCTGAATTCTGTTTGTCATGACCGTAGATAGATATAACTATTAGAATGAAGTTATAGATGGTAGCGAATAATATCAGATCGAAAATTGGTAAGAGCATATTCTGCACAATTGTTTGCATTATTGCTTGTCCAACGTGAATAGGATAATTTGTTTAACAAAGACAACAACAATAAGGTCTGTGTATTCGACGAGGAGTTATATTGTGTGCGATAACTGTTTCTAACATGAACCGATTCTAGTTCGGATATGTGGTTTATTGGTGAGAATACGACATTTTTATCTACCATTAATCGATTATCTATTGGTAACCGCAGTTGAAACTATCCTCGAACATGTTGCATTGTCAAATACTAAAAACACTTATTCACTACAAAACTGATTAGTTACTCTGAAATGTCATTCACGAATCCACTACACTAATGAGATAAATTGATTCTCACATTTTCGAGTATTTCAAATTCACAGTGTGTAATTTGAAGTGGACTTTGTCGACAACAAACACGTATATATAAAATTATATGACTGATTGAAATAAAGTAATATTTAGTTTATCTGCAATCATCATCAATATTACTCGTTTGTTAATTTGCATTCAAATATAACATTTGATGTAGAAATAGAAGATTGACGTTGTAGGTCCACCTGTAAGATTAGATTGTACTAATGTGGGAAGTATTTTTTCTTTCTTTTAGTAAAATAATCATGTGAAGTAATGAAGAATATTCATAAACTTATACTTAAAGTAATGTTATCTATACACATGACTTCGAAATAACCTTTACACTTAATGGTTAAAAGTACAAATGATGACTAGAATTGTTTTTGTTTGAAAAAGCTGTGGAATCATGGATGCACTTTTCATCCTGTTTAACACTCAAACTCATCACCTTTCATCATATACACTCGGTGCGTCATCCACTGAGACCAAATGCTTGAGAACTTGATTAATGTTTAAGATGTTTATATCATTTTAGTAAAAATTTGAGTTTTTGTTGTTTTGGTACTCAGACTAAGGTTCTATCCTTCTTTGTTAGAATAAATGTATCTCGTGAAGATTATACTAATGTAACCTATATATCTTAGTGGCAATAATTGCTCCTTGCATAGCTCTTGTTATAATTTCAAACTATATCACATCCGAATATTATGTCATCAATCTGTTTAAGTATTAACCAATAAAACTGACTTGTTTACAAAGTAGCTGACCACTTAGAAATAACCAACGTCATACAGTTCGATCTTTACCTTCAAAATTATATCTATCGTTATGTGCAGGCTTCCAACCACGATTGTACGTAATGTAAGTGCTTGTGATTTATCATAAATTATATGACTGAAGTAAGTCAAGAATGTTGATAATCAAATATGAAAGCCAATAACATATCGTTTCAGATGCTTAACTCTTATCTAATTATTGATAAATTTAAATCGACTTGTTACTGTGATGTAGAAATCTCGTTGTACTCAATGGCCTAAATATAATAGTAGTTATACGTTTTTTATCTAGTCAAAACTGATTTATTTTTTTCTTCAGCGTTTAATACCGTGTTATCATAAATCTATGTTCAAGCATAAAGAAGTTTTTCAAGGATTCAAGAATATATTCTAAAAAATGATAAATAGGTTTCAGCCTCAGTGGGAAAGGGTTTCTTATAACGATATAAATATTATATCCGTTAAATAAGTTAGTGTTTGTCCGGTATCAGTAACTTTATGGATAACGTGTTTGTGATATATATATATATATATGATGTATTTAACGTTTCACACAGAAGATCGTGTTTTGGATGCTTGTTATGAACATTAATAGCAGGATGCAGGTACATCCACGTGACAAGCACCAAATACAATAGGACACGCATCACATATTCCATTGATTGCCACCACCTAAGTTTATTTAGAATCTTATAAATTATTATTATTATTACTAGTGGCTTTATTCAATATTATATTTTTGGTACAATATAGAATCCTCAGCACAAAGTATTTCAACAAGTTTCCCTTCCTTATTTCTTGATCAGTTCCTTGCGACAAATATTGAGTGGTCGCCAGTTAGATGTTAGCGGTTCAAGAATCGACATCTGTTAAATGTATATCCTTTTCGATACATATGGACAGTAACTATGATGTCTCTGATTGAGCTCTTTTGTAACATGTACAGCGAAATGTCGTAAACTTTTCACGAACGCACCTGAATAGGTTATGAAACTAATAGGCATAATCATGTGTTAAAACAAACAAGAAAACAGATAACTTGTTGAAATATTTAGATGGCAGGAACAGGTGGCCCAGATATTCTAGCAGGCCACCGAAATGATGTAGGTTGCCAATATACACACGAATTTTCCATATGAGTGTTTAGATTCCACCAACCAGTAATCTCACTAAAGAATCACCTTCTAGCTCTTAAAAGTGAAATAATTTGCTGATCATTTCGTGGTTCACAACGATTGAGTTTTATTTACATATCACTACTCTTGAGTAGTATAAATGTATTTATGAAATTTGTTGATCACAACCTTCGAGTATGCATATATTTACAACAGGTGATAATCCTATCACTTACTGAAGGTACCAAATATCCATACAACATCGATGATATGTTCTCTACAAACTGCAGTCTTAACTTGAATGAATTATTTCATAATAGTTTAGCACTGAGTTTGTTGATTACACTAGTGGAAATTACATTTGTAACAATCTGGTCTATTGTAGTTACTAGTTATTTTAACGTTTATCTTAACAGTAAGGAATAAACCTAATCAGTGAAATGATCACCAACCGAAAATTTAATTTGAATTTTCCGAACTACACATCCTTTTTATTGAGAACTAGCTTGTTTGGAGCTTGATGTGAATTTGAAAAGAAGCATTTATTTTGATGTTCACTGTTAACTTTGTGAGAAAGGGTTGGGACTATTGAATTCGTACTTAATAGGACCTCTCGCTTCATGTTGATGAGCATCTTCCAGCACGTTTAAGTGAATTAGTCACAGCGCTATTCTTTCTTATTTGACAGACAGTAAACACCGTATCAAAACAGAACTTTTTTTATCTAATATATATTAGTTATGCAACATAAAAATGAAATAGCGCTTGACAGAAGTGTTCATCTGTATACTCTGTATAATCTGATACTCTGAAAGATAGGTTGACGAAAGTAATTAGCAGGACATTCTACGCAGCCAATTTGGCTTCGACGTTCTCGAGTCGATCAGTGATGTCTACTCAAACGAAGGATAAGTTACTTGAGTTGACCTCAATGTGCATTGATAGCAATCATACTGTAGATAAATCGGAAGCATTACGGGTGATCTATCTCATACCTCCATCATTTCCCAACGGAGTACGTTCCCATCTCCTACATATAGCTGAAGCCATAAAAATTCGTACATATAACCCCAATTTATGTGTACAGAAGAAATTCGTAACCCCCCCTATCCCTTCCGTGGCCAGATATAATCTAACAAACGACTTTTTTAATCTTATTTTTGTTATCATTAACATTATTTTCACATTCAGTATTTGTTTGTAATTCTTCGCTTCTTTCCGTTTTTATTCTTCACTATCTAACTATTTACTCACTTCTTGTTTTAATGTTTTGTGATGACTATTCCAAGTCTATTTTACGCATGTTTGACCTTCTAATTCCAATATTTAACTACTGATATGACTTTTGTTATCGTATTTTATTATTCTTACCTACTATCAGTACACCTGTCTTCTTACTATCAACTTGTACTTTTACCTATTATGTGTGGTGACTTATTCTATTTCATTGGGATTATTGACCTAAATTACCTTGATCGTTTTAACATTTTTTGTATAAATATTCATTGTATATTAGAGTAAAGCCTGATGACCATCTAATTGAAAACAATATTGTTCGCTTACATGTGTTGTTCCAATATAATTCACTATTGACTAATTGACTGAAGTATAATTATGAGTTTATATTTATAATCTTTACGGTATCGTAGCTACTCAACAAATATACTTAACCACAATTTGATGATATTGGAAATGGAGATCTAACAAATAGAGCAAGATAGTAACCGAAATAACGTCCACAGTAGTAAGGAAACTTGCGTGCTGATGATGTCGTTCAGAAGAACGATGAAAGCTCCACGACCAAACCATCCAGCTCAGAGAACAAAACTCCATCAAAACTTGCGTTAATTTAGAAATTATATGAGAACCTTCCTTTATCTATATTCTTAGTCGGAGAAAGATCGTCTTATAGAAACATATTCAAGCTTTGTTTCGTTGAATAAAATTACTACTTACCTTCGTACAAAATTAGTTGTATTGGAGTTTGGCTCATTAAAATATCATCTCTTAGAGTTTTAAGTGTATGTATCTGTTCATGTAATTATTTGATTGATTACTTCAGTAGAATGTATTCAGTCTAATTAAATTCAATTTAATGCGAAAACTCTTACTAGAGCACTATATTAGCTTTCATTCGTTTCCAAAAGATGTATTTGCTATATGGTGGCATACATCTCATCATTTATGTTAAATTTCTTATAGATTGTGCAGAGTTGGCTCAATGATTTGACTTTCAGTCAGTGAATAATCGCAATTTCAAACCATTTCTGTTTAGTCAATCCGATAGTTCCAATAGCCATCACACTTGGAACTAAAACTGAGTAAACCTTTCTGTACTTGATAGATCAGTTATATATATATATAAGTAGTTTAATCTCACTTGTTTTAATTTTCCCCATCTCTTTAGATTTAAATCTGTTGAACTGATGATCTATTTAGCAATTTCTATTTGTCCAGCTTATAGTTTCATTTACATGGTGAGTAATTCGTCATATATTCATAAATTTTATCCTGTTCATTTGTAAGAAGAAAGTTAATCGTCATTCGAATTTATAAACTAGTTCTGTGTAAAAGATTGTTCAAGAGTAATATATATATATATATATATATATATATTGTATTCATGAGGACTGGCAATTATGGAAGAGATATTTAACTCTAGAGAATTGTCTTGAATACGTTACTTCCTCGTAATGTTATATACTACAATTTCTTTTTTTCAAAGTATGAACTTCTATAGAAGGTTGATTGCTCACCATGAAACTCAAGGGGCTTCGGGTTCGATCCCCAGCAATGGATAGTTTTATACTAGAATGAAATATTTTATAAAATGCTTTCTAATTTATCAACTCTACTTGTTTTTTTTCCATCTAATCTATTCAATAAAACTCAATCTTTACAAACTCCCTTTTTTTCTTCTTTTTCTTTTCTCATTTAGCATGAACAATCTGGTCTACCATTATTATTTACAGGAGCATTTGTTTATTTATCTGGTGTGATATTTTTTAAATTAGATGGTCATATCCCATTAGCACATGCAATATGGCATTGTTGTGTATTTATTGCTACATTTTTACAATTCAATGCAGTTGATACATTTTTATTAACAAATTAGATAAATAAAAAAGTAAAGAAAAAGAAAGAAAATGATAAACGAGAAAAGAAAGTCATTATTATTTTGTTTGTTTGTTTGTTGTTTTATTGAGCATAATAGTCATAATTTATTGAACAGTATATGCATATATATATAGTAAAGGACTACTGATATACTTAATTCAATACAGTTACTATTCATTAGCTTCTTGTATGTAACAGATTTTCTTCATTTCTATTATTTATTATGTAATAATTATCTGTTTGTCTATACTTAATATGTTGAATGTAGTGACGATTGCTTCTTCTCTATTTTCGTTCTCAAAACCACGTTGAACTTTAAGATTCAATTCTGTCTACCTATCTATCTGTCTGTCTATCCGTATATGTCTATCTATCTATCTGTCTGTCTATGCAATATTTTCATTACTATTTATAACATACAAATCTAGAAAATAATTCTTTTATTCTTTATTAATATTTATTATAATGAATTTATGATTATTATTATTATTATTTTCTGACATCAATTTACAGAGTTATTTTAATGTTTTTGTTTTTTTAAAAATTTTATTTCTCAATTGTATTTTATAATCAGATATTAGTAAAGTGAAAGAATGTTATGAATACTAATGATTATTATCTGTTGTTAGTAGTATATGTATATATGCCCGTTCCAACCAAACAAATTGATGAAAACTAGTAGGTTCTTCTAGCGAGAAACAGGCCATATCGAAATACGTTACAACTACCGGGGCTAGAATAGCTGTTTTTGCAACCGGTTGAAGTTTGAACTGTAAGGAGTAATCCTGTGTATTACATGCACCACTTTTGTCAAACTTTTTTTGGTCGTTTTCCCATCCAAGAGTAATTGTGCTGTGATTGTTTATGGATTCCGTAATCGGTTTGAAGGTATCAGTTGAGTGGGTGATTAGTCTGATCTCTATAATCTGGATTACCGCAGACGTTGGTTCATAGGTTATCTGTGCCACTATCCAGGAGGCTCGACGCGGACGTGTGAATCGGCTTTTGCCTATATATATATATATATATATATATATATATCATGGTACAAGAAGAGGTTATAAAAATTTCCTTTGAGCACACAATTCTGGCTTTTCCAAATATACGTTAAATTCTTCGGCAATGTTAAGAAGACGGAAGTTATCTGTCGTTGAGGGCTGTCTACTCACCTTGTAAATAACTTTGAATGCAGAGTCCGTTTTGATCGAACGATCTGAGAATTCCCTAACGAAGCCAGTCATTAGTGACCACATGTTAATTATTAGTTCTCTGAGTTCTAGTGAGAACCTGTGACCAGTGGAACTTATCTGTGTCGGGTAGAGACATGTATCTACCTCAGTACAGTGGAAGATGGTTGCGCAGTTTCGTGGATTGGTTGATGTTAGACACTAACACCATTGGATACCGGCTCAGTCGTCCAGTATGTTAAGCGTTCGCGCGCGAGACTGAAGGCCCTGGGTTCGTAATCCCGCGAGCGGGATCGTGGATGCGCACTGCCGAGAAGTCCCATACTAGGACGTCCAGTACTTCCAGGTTTCCAACGGTGGTCTAACATCAGTCGGTTCATGATCCCAGTCAAAGACAAACTTTCTGTTTGTCAGTTATTTTTTATACAACACTACGAAAGTCTGATCTTAAGCTTAAACCATTGATCTGTTTCAACACTTATCAATATAACTTTTGTCTCAATTGTGGCCTTTATATAGGGGCATGGATTCGTCATGTAAATCCATTTCGCATCCGCTTGATTTAAGAACTCTATTTCATCATAATATAAAGAGATTGACAGAAGCACTTTACATATGAGCTAATAAGAACAACCTGAACAGAAAGGATATTATTCAACCAACAACTACTTTGCAAATGTTTGTTAACAAGTAGTTGGACCGTTTTACTCTATCCGACCTGTTTATTTCACATGCATCGTTTTTCCTTCATATAAAAACATATTAACAACTACTAACAACTCAATCATGCACATACACACACAATCATTTGCACATTCATTTCCACATTGCGAACGTTTCACATGATTCACATATAAATGACTAACATCAGCATCTAAATATGATTGGATAAGCACAGTAAAGAGTTTATTTAATTGTTAAACACTATATATTTCTTTGATTATTACCCTGAAGAGGTCCAGATAGATTTGCTGGACGAAACGTTGGAATTATGTTAAATTTCAATCGCTGAGATCAATTAAAAAATAATATCTCTATACTTGGCGCTCAATTTTTATTAAATTATTCGTTCTAATATTGACAAATGTTCGTATAAATCAATCTGATTGTCTGTGCAATTATAATTCCTTCTATTGTACTACCTGTCTATCGAATGTGATTCATATTGAATTGATCATTATCAAAGGGAACTGAGATATTCCCCTGTTCATATTGGTTACGCAAAATTTCAAAGATATGATTGTACTATTTATTAAATAAATAAATAATTATATCGAAAAATAGTCCTAATAGTTTAGATCACCAGCCAATTGAAGGTAGACCACTGATGAAAACCTGGAAGCACTGGACGGCCGCTTCATCCTACTCTGGGGCTCCTCCTCAGCAATGCGCATCCACGATCTCACCGCGTGATTTGAATCCAAGACTTATCAGTCTCGCGCGCGATTGCTTAACCATTAGACCACTGAGCCGGCATCCAACGATATTAGTGTTTAACTCCAACTAGTCCACGAAATTGCGCCACCGTCCACCATTGTCACCAGTGAGTTACTACTTCACCACAGACCCGGTTGAGGTCCACTGGTCACGACTTCTCAGTAAAACTCCAGGAAATACCTCTTGAAGCCAGTCACTAGTGAGCATATGTTGATTAATATCAGAAAGGGGATGTTTGTAGATATTATACTAATTTCAATAGTTGAGATCATGAGTCAATTTAAGCTAGACAATATCCACAAAATCCGTTCTGATATGAACAACAACATTGACAAATCCCCCCCCCCATAAAAAGCATAAAACTACCTATATGTACAAGTTTTATTTTGTTGAAAATTATTCCCCACCCCCCCAAAAAAACTTTTAACTAAGAAAAGAATAACGAATAACTAAAGATAATCATAATAATAAGTACACGAATTTATCATACAGAGTTTTAGAAATCTTCAATGATGATGATGATTATTATTATTATTAATATTCTGCCATAAAAAAATAGTTCATTCTACATATAGTTGATCTGCAATAAGTACCAAAGTGAGTACAAATAAGATCGATATGCACATGTTTACAAAAACAAAGAACTGAATCAATGACTTGTCTTATTTTAATCAAATTGATATACGATATAGTAATTGTTATTAGTAAAACCCACATTACAATTTTATGTTACACTGATATACAGATTTTTATACAGAAAAGAAACATGTACAAATGTTGTATAGGAATCCTTTCAAGATAACCTATCATTGTAAAACATATATATATATATATATATATATATCATGCAATATGGAGACATGGAGAGTGATGCTCGACTGAGAAAAGAAGTCATCCATATGAAGGCATATATATATATATATATATATATATATATATATATATATATATATATATATATATATATATATATATATATATAGTTTCAATTTATCTGTGACAAATTGGACTATAAGCCAATGCAACAGGATGATTTTGAAAATGAGGCACATTATAACAGACAGTAGTCAATTGTTGTTTATTATTCTTACATGAAAGAGTTGACGATGAGATGTTGTTAGTTGATACATCTAAACGATTCACACGCATATTAGCCTGAGCAAAACGAAATTGTGCATTTCTTACTTGTAATGTTAAATCTAAACCCCAAGTTAAGTAGTCACAACGTAATTGTTGTTTACTTGTACCACAATCAGCTGAGAAAACAACATAAACAGGAGAATTAGTAGTGGTAGGAGTATTCAAAGTAGTAGTAGTAGTAGTAGTATTGACATCAGAAGTCGACACAGAACTAAGTGTGTTAGTATTCTGAGAAAGCATTACATAAATTTGATCTAGACGATGATAATGCAACATGAACATTAATGTCGTATTTTCAGTTAGGAAAAATACTGGTGCGGTTTGATGTGATGTAACAGATGAGTTCGAATCCGATATCTAGAAGAAAAATTACAAATTAAGAAAGGTGAATAATAATTCCATGAAATAATTATCAGAACTTACATAAATGTCTATCAGCAAAATATTTTAGAATAAAGTTGAGTAGTACAGTGATAATATGTCTCTGACTATAACATTGAGTGATATAGGTTCGCATTCCCCTAGAGAAACAACAGCTTTCTTATGAATCACAGAGACAACATAATCACGGAATGTCGAATAGTTAGACATTTAGATCGATTAAAGCTTTCTGTCAGCTGTCTCTGTCATATTTATCTAGTTATTTAGTACTTGACATCGTAATTGGTCAAGTATAAGTGACTTAGTGATCAATTAATGTACATATAAGTCTTACATGGCGGTCAGTTGCGGCTCCAAAGGCTCAGTAGCAACGTTTCAACCTATGAAATTGAATGACTTCGGTCTGCATATCACAGTTCTCTAAAGGTTGAACACTCCACCATGTTGATGGATCTCAAATACTAAGAAACTAAGTTCCAAGATTGAATATCGCCCACCTCAAAGTTCTTACTACGACCTGACAACACAATCGAAAACTAAAAACAGTATAAAAGAACTATTTCCTTCTACAATTTGCGACTGTTCAAATAACCCACGTGAAAAATGATAACTAGAACAAACGTTAAAGAAAGAAAATCTACAGGTAATATATCGCTGACTATGACATTGAGTGATATGGGTTCGCATTCTCCTAGAAAAGCAACAAATTTCATATGAATCACAGAGAAACTATCTTAACGACGACTGTCGACTAGTTGGACATTCAAAGAAAATTTACTTTGATTCTCCGCAAATATACCAATTGAAGGTAGTTGGAGTAAAATGAATTGAATTGGTAACTTACATTGATATTACTATTAATATTATTAATACCGACGGGATTTCTTGAAATAATCCAATTCTGTAATGAATTATCACGTATACACCATACAGCTTGATCTGTAATTAATACAACTACACCATTTAATTGTATAGGTAAAATATGTAATATTGATTCAGGTGAATAAAGTAAATAACGAAGATGATGTGATGCTAAAGCTTCTGGACTATTATTACATGGTAATAATGCATAAATATATAACATACGACTAAATGAATAAGCTAAATCAAGATCAGTTAATTTACAACTGTTAATAGGAGACAGTTTATTTGTATCATCGAATTCATTCACATTATTATTATTATTATTATTATTATTATTATTATTATTAGTAGTAGTAGTAGTAGTAGTAGTAGTAGTAGTAGTAGTAGTGTTAGTATTAGTATTGTCCATTGGAACTTCACCAATTTCAAATGTATTTAATGAATTAACCATAGAATTAAAGGTGTTCAATGAAGATGAATAATAATTTTTTAATGAATAACGACGTGTAACATTGAATAATGTAAGATGATGAATTTGTAATTGAGCTATTGCTTCATCTAAATTATAAATAATTAATGGTCGTGAAAAATATTTTGATAAACTAGCACGACGTGGTCTACATCGTTTTGGACGATATAAATTTGATGGACGTGCAACTTCACTAATTGAACTCATCATACCAGATAGAAAATCGAACACACCACCAACTGGTTTTGTTACTGTACCTAATAATCCACGACCAACACCATAGACAAAACCCTAAAAAGTATAAAAATGAAAATATTCTTTTTTTTTTAAAAAAAAAAGTAAGGATGTTAATTGATTAATTTGTGTTCATGATGAATTCTGGTGTTTATATTGATCGATCATTGAATAATAACTAAAGTAATGTCTGTCAAGTCCTTAGTACGGCTGATCGAATTTTATTGATAAAGATGTCATGTGGAAAGTAGTCTAAGTGACTTGACACTGAATGTATTATGTTTTGATGTAAGATGGGTAGAAGTGATCGGTAGTAAACTATAGACATAGGCTTCATACTATTTGCTATTCGTCAATAACGTGTATTTGCAAATTCGAGAGGAGTGATACTTCCTAGTAGATTGTAAACCACATTATTTAAGTTCACAGTCTGAGAAGCTAAAGCTGAGCTATCGAGTGAGCGACTGATTTCCTGTAAGGCTGAAATGATTAAATTGATTAATTATCGAGAATTGGTTACTTCTTCATTTCTCTTGTCCTTAGTGTTAATAGAATCCTACTGGTCAAATGTATGAAACCTGTCTAAGAAATACGTAAATTAAAGTTATACAAACTTCATTTAAGAACGTTGGAGGTTCTCCTTTAAGATTATTCCGCTAAAAATACACCACAATAGTGCCCATAAACTTATCTTATCTCTATCAACTTTGTTCAAAATATTTATGAGCTTTAATAAAAGTTAAATGTATCATGTCACATTTTGCCAAAATAGTTTGTACAGGCGATTTTTCCAAATGAATTTCATTAGGAACCAATCGGACCAGTGAACAGGGACTCAGGAAACTTTGCGGATTTGATTGCTTTCATTAGCACATGAGGTTGTTAATCGTCTTGGTTTTGTATCATATTTGTATTCTTCCCTAAACACGTTGGAATGCTTCAGCTACTTAAAAATAATTGATTTTCTCAATGATCGATCTTCAAAGAACTGTCCTTATTGATTTTCTAGAAGTTATTTTCAAGTTTCACCAAAAATCCTATTATTACAATTCGTATACTTGGATATATATTATGATTCACATTCATGTGCCAAGTACAGGTTTATGTAGGCACGTTGGAATTACATTGTCTTCATGTGTTAGTGGTACCACTCAGCTGACCATATCGAAGTAGGATTGAAGTTTACAGTCTATTGAATGAAATATTCGATGGTTTGAACACTAATAAGCTATCAAGGCAAGTTTAGGTAGTTAATTAAGGTTCACAGTGCTAAACTGTATTAGTAGTGAAATAATAACAAATCAGTTTGTGTACATGAATACTTAACGATAATGAAAAAAATGAAAAGTTCAAGAATTCCATAAAAGACAAATTTTCCAAGTATTATTAGTAATAATTGCCGGGAAGTATAGAGTACGGCAGAGTATTATAGACTTTTCCAAAGGACTGGTACTTTCTGCCGTTTACGTAATACAATACTTTTTTTATAAAAGTAGATACCAAGCATCTAGACTACGGCGATAGATAATTTTATCTTAAGACTATAACCACCAACCTTGTTACATCTATTAAACTGAAAAGTAGCTCAGCAAGACACTTATTAAGTCCAGAACATCAATTAACCGGCATTGTAATTAAATATTCATCAATATAAAGTTGTGGAGTATCACTGAAAACATGCATTGAGGTTCATGGGTCCAATTCCTATGTGCAGAGCCATGAATGAGCATTGATGAGGAGCCCCATATTATGACGAAATGGGGGTTCAGTGCCTCCAGGTTTTGAATGGTGGTCTAACATTGGTCGGTTCATGATTTCAGTGATAACCAAATATTTGTTCTTAAAAACAAATTACTCACTCTTAACTGATCTTCTTTTGCACCACGATAAGGCTGTGTAACAATGGATGTCATTCCACCAACGATACCATGCATCAGGCCACGAACTCCAGCACTTAAAGGAGCTGTAACAGAACGATTTGTATCAAATGAATGGTGAGTTTGCTTCGGATATTGTGGAAGTGATATTATGGTTGGTGATGTTGATGGCGGTGAGGACAATGATGATGAAGAACCATATGTCGATGGAGTTGATTTCACATCAGTGTATATGTCATGACAAGTCAACTCAAAATCATCTAATGATTCATCGATTCCACTGGAAGACACTTCACTGTCATCATAATAATTCGAATTATAAATAGATTGTGATGTTTGTAATAATGAAGACGAGTCAATACGACTACCCAGTATGGCTGCACGTTCTTGTTCATGTTTATCGTCTAATGATATAGCAGTTAGCAATTGAGAAACACTTCCAGCAACCTAAAAAAGCCAACACAAAACAACAACACTAAAATAAACAATTTTAAAATTATTCTGTATACAAACTGGAAACGACGTCTCATAAAATGTAAGTATGGGGAGGATTTCGAATTCCCTTAATTGGATGGTCCAACTGTGAAGATAAATCATCATCAAAAGTATCTCATATGAGTTACAGATCTTTCACTAATATTTCTGTATAGAAGATAAATATATCGTTTATTCAAATGATGTAACCTTATACAACACAGGTTATGTGTTACACAGTGAATATACAGTTTGTCTAAAAAATGGATTTTGAATTGAATCGTGGTTCAGTATCAGTTGGTGAACGATTGATATTCGTAAACGCTGAATAACCATTACCCCTCCATGGTCCACATCTACAACGTCAGTCAATTCACAATAAAGAGAAATAGACAAACAGTCATACTGACAATAACTATAGCACTACAGATATGTTTAAATCTACTGACCATGATAACTTGCTATAACCATTTCAAATTAACTTGTAAATCGATTGTTAGCAAAGATCAGGTCAGTCAACCATAACAGTGCTGTTAGAAGTATGAGGGGTGGTTGTCATTTCTGTGTTGTCCATAGAGTAGAAAGATACATGCTGAGGAGCCTGAAAAAGAAAGTGGGTTAGAGGTGATTACGACAACCTAGGAGCACGACAGTGGTGCATAAGAAATAACTGCTTGAGAAGGTTAAATATGGCTTTCTTGTGAGTAGTTCTTGACGTGTTAGCCCCGTACTTTAAAGGCTTTATTACGGATGATAAAAATCTATGTAAAAGAATGTTGTGTGTTATTTTTAGGAAAAGCCTTTTCCAACTCCCTTCATCTGTCATGAGGAAGCTCTATCATCGCAGATATTCGTCGTCTGAAGGAAATACATTACTTCCATCATATTCCGGTACAGTTAGCAGTGAGAATCACCCTTGGAACTTAGTTAGATGCTTTTAATTTCACCGATATCTGGCGAAACTGTGACGAGATATAAACGAACAAGTGTTATAGCCAATACAGCTCAACAGGGTCACAACAATAGGCCAGTCCAACCACCACGTCAACGTAGCAGTCATAATTGGGATCAATTTATTGCTCACTTCAGTGTTGCGTGGAGAGATATGTATATGGTTTCCATCTATTCTCATCAAGAACAAAGTTTATAAATATACTGAAAATAGTATGGTAATACAATGATGATTTGACATGTTATAGCAAAAACAAGAACCTTCAGATACTGACGAGATAAGTACTTAAAAGAATCCAGCGAATTCGTATTACCAACTTGAATCGTAAATAATTGAGAAATCGTTTGTTAAATTAAACCCATCCTATCAATGATGACTGGTGATAGAAAAAAATTAAACAAAACATAAGTCACTACTCACTTTTGCTGCACTATCTCCAACACCATGTGCAACATGTCGAATTAAACCACCGACATCTAGTTCCACCAGACCTGATATACCTGAACTTAAATCATTAATTAAACCAATTGGATTGCCAAGAAAATCAACTGATCCAAATATATTCAATGCATGCGCTCGTAGTTGTAATCGATAATATGTATTAAGATAATTTATTAACTGTGGAATAGTTTCCAACATGTACAGCTTTTCTATTGGGTCTGAAATAAAAAAAATTTTCACGGGGTAAAGGATTAGGATATTTGATCATGTTGGTGAACAAAAAAATCAATCATTGAATCGACATCACTGAATATTTTGGTTTTATACACGATCCTTACAAATGATAAATTCATAAAAAAAACTTCATCACTACAAGAAAGGAATCAAATGATGTTGTATGGTTGAATACAAACTGAGCAATAGGATCTAGTTTTAACTTGCTGAAAAGGAATGTCTCCAATAGAAACCATGTCAAGTCCAATTAAACCACTTTGGATGTAAGGCAGTTTTACCTGACAATAACATTGATTGTTGTATAGTATCCAGGATTGACTAAATTTATGCGTGCAAATCCCTGTTTCTTCCCAACTCACAAGTCTAAAAGCTAAGCGTTCGTTAAGATATTCGAAGGTCCTGAGTTCCGCCGTCAGTAGAACTGTATATGCAGCCGAGAGTCACATACTATCTAGTGCTTCTTAGTTTATAATGTTCGAATAACTAAGGTTAGTTCATGATGTAAATTACAAAACCCTTTACATCTGGTGGACTTGATATAATTTATGAAACCCGATAAACTAAAATATCTGCTGATATCCTGTGAGATATACTGAAAAGTTCCTAACTAGTCTCCAATATCATGTTGCTTAGTTTTCAGTGTTGGTCGAGACCAAAGGATTCGTTATGTTTTAGATTTTCATGATATTCGGTAAACTACAGTTCTACATGTGGATTGAACCCAAGAATGTCACATTTTCATATTTCAAAATATACGGTTGTCAAATGTGTTCGTGGTTGGTTATTCATCTTTTTCCTGTTCCTTTGCTTTACCTCATGAGACTATACTACTTACAAATATTCAATAGTTTAAGTTATTACCGGTCATCTAGAAAACTGTAACATGATTTTTCTCTGGAGTTATTGTTATTAATTCATTGCTAAGTAATTGACAAAACCAGGTGTTATCCTCTGATTTCTAGTATGTATTATAATTTAATTCTTGTTCAATTGTTTTAAGAGAATACTCCTTCTACTGATTACTATTTTAATGAATTATCAGCATATGGACACCTCACGACTAAAAGTTTGCAAACCTAATAGCTAATGATGTTCCATCTTCTAGTCAGTCAGTCACTACAAATGATAATTTGATGTCAACCATATGACCAGTTTCAATCAAATGTTTCGTAATGGAGGATGATGTCTGTCTATCCTATGATCTTATTTGACCATTGGAATTCATTTGTTTCTACAGCCATTTTGATTGAAATATTTTAGTGTGTAATTCACTTATTATTATTATTATTATTATTATTATTATTAAAACTAAGAAATAATAAATTAAATCTTACCTAATTGTATTTCTGCACCTGTAAAACTCATTAATGATGGTAGTAAACGTTTAGCACCGGCTAAATATGATTCAGTCAATAAACTTTTCGCTGTTTGTACACTTAATTTCATATGTATAGGACTAATTATAAATCGATCACACCAGAATATTTTATTTTCTGATTCAGTGTTATGCAACATTGAGTACTTCTTTCTAGAAATAAATTTTTTTTAAAAAAGAAAAGAAAAGAAAAACGACAAATTCAAAACAAAACAGTGAAGAAGTTAAACTATAAGAAGAAAGGAAGAGAAGAAAAATAGTCTAGTGGGTCTTAATAGAATAAGCTTTTCTCGAAATACAGCGAATAAAGTGATGATATATGTTGTATCAGTTGAATAAACCAGTGATATTCTAACACTGAGAAATCTGATGACATTGAATAATAACATCATGAACTGACTGGAGTTTGTAATATGAATCAAGGGATTTCGAGTTAGTAGTTTATAGGTACTCTGCTTGTTGTATGACACTACTGTAAGATTTGTAACTAACCCCATATTTGTGTGTGCTGAGTCGTCAATGTGGACAGTTGGAAAAGTTCTAAATTAGGATGAAACAGGTGGTCAATGCTTACTGAATGGAATGTCTTAAAGTAACGATGATGACAATCGAACTCAGCCACCAACTACAAATCCGGGCATACAACGCTTGAGCTAGAGATATTCTATTCGGCTTCTTAAAATGAAATAGGTAAGGTGGAACTTAAACTTATAATGCAATGATTGAAAGTAGAATATCGTGAGCATTAAGTTACTGCCACATTAATATTTCTGAGTAAATAACAGCAGATTTGATTAAAGAAATAATACATGGATAATTAGAAATAATAACAATTAACGTACTTATCTGAATTGTGAGGTAATGAAATAGTAAATGAATCAGATAAAGAATTCAAAACAGAAGGATCATTATCGTCATAATTATGCGAGTAATGATGTGAATCAAGGTGGTGATTATAAGAATTATTCCGTTCATCAGTATCGGTATCCTCCTCAAAAGCATGTTGATAAAATTGGATTAATTTAAGTAGAAGTAATTCTTCCGCTTGTACATTCAACGGACTTATATCAATCTATGGACAGAAAAGGAAAAATGTAAGTGTATCCTCGTGTTCATCATTACAAATTAATTGTGTATGATATATATTAATTCGTAACTGTTTAATGATGAAATGTTTATTTTAAATGTCATTTACCGAGTAGCTGGATTCAATATATAGACTGAATAGAAAGTCTGTAGTAGGTCAGCTTCGAGATAACTCCTTAGGCTTCATTTATCAGTCACCCTGATAACCACTGTTAAATAATTCCCAATGGTGTATGAATTCAGAAGGAAACACAAAGTGTCGACTACAGATTATTATTGGACAGCGCAGATCACAAAGCTACAAGTACACCAAACGAATGTAGGCAGAAAAGCTAGTACGCGCAAGTAAGATAATTCCGAGTCGAATCACTTAATAAAACTTAAGCCCATGTGCAAAAGAGAATGTTTCATCAAGTGATCTTTGGGCAACTAACATTTAAGTTAGAGAGACGGATATGTACGTCCATACAGACAATAATAATAAGAATAATAATCGCTGTATCAAGAATATACTTGCTAAGATCTCCAATTCTCCAGTTTTCTATATTTTGTTAATAAATAGTAGTTCTGACCTTTAAGGAAGACCGTGAAGTTTTTTGCAATTCATTTCAGCCCACCTACACTTACTTTTATGTGATAGGTTTTTCAAAGTTTTGGCTGTTTATTTTTGTAATCTTAAGATCATACACGTTGTTATTTGACTTGTTCAAACATCGAGTTTTTATATGAGATCTGAACTCCTCTATCGTCCATCACGTGAAGGATTATCGTTCAAATGTTGTATATTAATCATCAGATGCACATGAAGATTTTGTTTCGTAATAAAAAAATCTCCTAATCATCAGTCATGTGAAAATATCGTAAGCTAATTTAAGTCGTAACAGTGCTAGACAATTATTACATCTTAATATTGTTTTCCTCACCAGTTAATGTTCACGATTTCGTAAAGGATCGAGTCCAGAAGCTGGTTATAAGTGATAGCAACGGAAGCGATCAGTTTATTTGTTAAAATAATTGATTTTCAACAATCAATTAGAGTATAAATTATTTGAGACAGCCATGTTATGCTAGTAGACTTAGTCAATTAAAATATGTATCTTAAGGGAAAGTATACACAGACCTAGTTAGAGAGATGTTTTACTTAACAATTCTCTAAAATAATCAGACCGGTACAATTTTAGACTAGATCCGACATAACAAAATGAACAACATCAAAGACTATTGGGTTCAGAATGTCGAAGATTCTATGTAACATCTGATAAAATATTTGAATAGTTCTTAATAAAATGACCTTATGTTTCATTTGGAATCATTACCAAATGGTGTGGAATCTTTTTTTTTCAGAAAAAAATCATGACATTGTAGTTCAAATGATTGAAAAAAATTCAGTTTTATTGACGTTAAGAATCCATACGAGTAGATTAGAAAACCATTTCACTTACTGACTATTGGTCTTTTCTTTAATAATACAATACAATAATACAATGTAAGTCATAATGACAGTCTATCTGTTCCAGATAATTCCTACCTGATACTTCCACCATTATACGTTCCAGATCACTTTTTAAATAATCTTCAATATGCAAAACCCTTTTTTTGGATAAAGTTTATGATTTTAAGTCTCTACAATTGAATTCATGAAATAGTCAATACAATACTTAATACGAATAAAGAACTAAGAAGTATATCTATTATTATTGGGAGATAGTAGTGTAATGAACAGCCTCGAGTAGTAAACTAGTTTATTATATTATGCAAAATCATACACTGAATTTGTAAAATATGAAAACAATAGATTAAATACACAATTTCCCCCCATCTTCGTTGAGTTTCCCCTTACAAATAGATCGATCTTCTATTCCTATTATTATTTCGATTGCTTTCTGTTTTCATTTCTCTTCTCTACATTTTTCTCTTCTATTCATAAGAATTTCACTTTCATTCCCTGTTACATACTACTTATATCTATCCGTACAAGTAGTACACACTACATTATAAAAAAAACTCATAATAATAATAACAATAGAAATAATTGATTAGGTAATTTATTTTTACCTGAAATATTTTAAATAAATGTATTGGCCAATTATTTTGAATATTATCACGTGAATAAGTGATTTTTAATGCGGATAAATGTTTCATTTCATTCATTTGTGTAAATTCAGTAGTAGAAGTAGTTGTAGTAGCATAATTTGGAAATGGATTCATTTTTAATTTTTCATTATCAGCACCAACATTCAAATGATGAAGATGATGTTCATCATTAGTCACTAATTTTGTATTGCTTTGAAACAAAAGTACTGGGAAAAGAGCACCAGTAAACTGACTATCAATCTATTTAGTTATTTTGAAAACAAAAAAAAAAAGAATTTATGTAAGAAGTCATTTGTCAATGAGAATATCGTTTTAATAGGTGAATTCATGAGTCCATTTAAGCTAGATCATCATCGAAAACCTAAAAACACTGGACGACCATTTAGTCTTAGTATGGGACTTTTCATCAGTGCGTTATCCACAATCCTACACGCGGGACTCGAACCCAATGGTAGTCTAGTTTAGATTGACTCATGAATTCAACTATTAAAATTACTACAATTTTCACAAATCCCCATTCTGATAATAGAAAAATCAACTGATCTCATCTAGAAAGTATGAAAATGTTGGTGATATTTTGACAGATGAATTTAGTATAAAGTGTAAAATCTTCGGAACAATTAGCGAGACAGTGAGAATCACTGGAATCCACTAACACAATTCAAAGAATGCAAGATATAGGATCAATCTATAACTGTTGAGATGAGTCGCGTTGGTAGGTGTAGACTACTTGGTTGTGGTCCTAATGACTGGAGACGTTAGCTGACAGTTTAAAATTGTTCACAGTGACTAAAATGCATTTCACCATTTGCCTTTGTTTAGATCTAAAGTTGCGAAATTATCATAAACTTATTATTCCGAGAAATCAATGTGTCTTCTCGAATTAGATTGTTTATAGTTAATCGTTTACACTACATCTACTGATCCAGTGTTTAATCTGATAATTTCCTTGCATTGTACTGATATAGTAAAACAAAAATTGAACTGAATGTGTTAGACTCGATGTTGCTTATAATTGATTGACAAATAAACATAAATTAGCTAAAAAGCATAGTAAAACAGAAGGGATCACTGGACGATCACTATATTTCTACATGAACATTCTCAAGCAGTACACAACCAACCCCCCAGCACCACTACAGAGAGGGTTGAATTAAGACGCTTAAGCATCATGATAACTGTTTCATTTATCCTTTAGAGATTATCAGTTCTATCACTGACAGGGTTGTGGAAGCAGATCGCTCAGATGTTTTATAACAGAGAAAGTGTTTTCCATGATGTGAAGGATCTCTTGAGATAAAATATTTTTTTGAAAAAAATTTCCATGTTGATAATTACTTAAATGTTATAATTAAAAAATTACTTCACAATGTGTTTCTACGTACTTGAAAATGACCAATAAGTAATTGAAATGTTTCAGATACTTTAGGAAGACACGATCCATTTTCATGCTCATACGTAAGATTATTATTGTAGCTCTCATCGTCATCATTTAATGAAGATCGTGAGATACCCGGTGGATGAGCAAGATCAATCGAACTTAAACCATGATGTGTAATGAATGATAAACGATCATCATTTAAAATGTTACAGCAACTATTAGAATGTTTCATCATAAACATTGAATTTTCACTAGATGATACAAGATGTGAAGTATTCGGGGTAGTATTAGTAGTCAATAAATCAAAATAAGTTCGAATCAGTGATAAATTTATATCACTTAGTGAAATATAGATAAGTTCTTCCATAAATGATGATATAACATTAATGCCAATTCCATTAGGCAGAGTTAAATTAGCCTAGAAAAAATTAGAAAGTAAGAAAACAGAGTTTATATTCTCAGAAATAAAAAATGTCAATATAACTTATAACTAAGCGTCATATCAATGCCATTCGCTCCAAGACATATATTTGAACTCAGTGGTTTAATGGATAAAGGATTGGTATCTAAAGCAAAAATTATTAGATTCAAATTCTAATATACATCCAACTGATGAATCCCAAAAAGAGTAAAACTAGTATCCTGGATTCCACAATAAGCCACATATCAAATATACCATGACTTGTGAGTAAATGCTGTATCAAGGTAATCCGTTCATGAGGCAAAAACTGATCAATAGTACGGATAAATATCCGAAATTGTAAACACTTACTAATAGTATGTAAACAACAACAATAAACTTATTCACTAGGTACTAGGATATGAGGCATACTCCAAATGTGACAGGTAATGATACTATCCGATTGCTCAGACCGAAGTAGATGGAACGGGAATCGAACACGGCATCTAGGGGCTAAACGTAAAACACTTTACGTACTGAACCACCGTTTAATCGGTCCTACATGTATGAAACATAAAATCAAGATATTTTCTACGAGGTGGTTCATAAGTCGAGTCGTAGCAGATATTATTGTTTTACTTTGACACAAATAGCCGATATTTTGACTTCGACTGGCTCATTGTTACAATACAGCTATATTAACTATCTATTCACAAACAAGTGTGATATGACGCACTCTAGGGAAAAAACTGATTCAAATGAAAAGAAGAAGATCTGTAAAACTTTAGGACTGTTATTTCTTTACCAAATACAAGCTTATTTACTATGCTTTGACATAAATTATCTTCGTTCTGACTGGTGATAGTATCTGACTGTTCAGTTATAATCGTTATAATTGACTTATAACCTTATGAAGTGCTTATTAGAAAAACCAAAGAAGGCTATTGAAATACATTATCTTGAGATTATTTTTAATAAACAATATATACCTTAAAATTAGTCACTAGTCGATGATGATCTTTTGCTTTAATACTATTACACAAATTTGACTGATACGACGAGTCCTCCCATACTGATGATTCATGTTGCGAGTACAGCTACGACGAAAAGAAATGAACAACGAATACAATAAACAAAAAAGAACATACTTTTAAACTGTAATCTGATAATATACGAGATAATTAATAAATATCTGTTATGTGATTAACTTATGCGATATCGCAAAATACGACTACTAAATTTAGATACGACCAAACTAATGACGTATATACCAATACGAGCAACCTAGAGTTCCGATTGATACTGTTTCCGCCTAGCCCTGCCTGTTAAATACAGAACGTCAATATCAGTCTCCGTGTTAGGTCCCGATAAGCATAATGAATGGTAACTTTGGGACCACTTTATGGACAAATACTAAACGTATATTTTTATCGTATAATTGTTAAATAACTAAACTATTCATATTCATATTCCTCCTATTATAAGCTTTATTTTGACCAATGAACCATTATTATACGTTTTACCATTCTTGAATTATGCCCTGTCTATTTGTCACTACCTCCCACATTCACAGCCACATTTGGCCAAATTTTGTACAAATGTTATTTTCTATTTTATGGCACGTTGTGGTCTGTTTGATTGGTATATAAACCGAGTATGTTTGAAATACATGATTCATATTGCAGAGGCTGAGATTAGTGTTCTGGACTTAACTGGCTGATCTAGGCGGGAAGCAGGGCTAATCAGAACTCCAGGCTGCTTGCACGTGTTTTACGCGTCCATGGTTCGATCGATAATTCACTGCTCTCTAATTGGCGGTATCATTACTTATCTATTAACAGGGCATGAAGGTCACAAGTTATAACACTCCGCGATACGGATCATGTATTTCGAAAATACTGGGTTTATATACAAACAAACCAGACTGCATTATACCATAAACAGAAAAGAACAATTATACAAGATCAAGCCAAAAGTGGCTGTGATTGTGAGAAACTGCTAAGAATATCTCAAGAATAGTAAATCGTATGATGAGGGTCAATAGGTCACATAAAAGCTTATAATGAAAGGAATGTGAATATACATATAATATAGTTACTTAATAGTCATACAATAAGAATATTCCTGACAGTTACAATCCATTTATTCTCGTACGGACATAACAGTGTCAAACTTTGAATTCTTCAATTATAAAGTTCTAATGTGAAGATCAACTTCAGGTACTTCACTTCATCAGACAGTAAACAGAAGAAATAACTCATAGTACGTTAGAAATCTTTGAAAACTCATTGGAATATTATAAATATATTATTTAAAAAAGTCAAGAGATGAATCATATTTTTTGTAAAAAAAAAATCTAACAACACTCACATCTCCTGGTGATGTTATTGATGATGTTCTTCTACCCCAACGTGAAATTGTTTTTACATAATCTGTATTTTGTGTAGTTAATTCAGTATTTTTTATATCTTCATCTTCAATACGTAAAACACGTGTGGCTTTATCTAGATAAGTGAATAAACGTAATCTACCGGAACCGGGACGAAGCCATATTGGTAAAATAATTGCTGATGTTATAGATGAACTAATTAAACGTGTTGCTAATGGACGTGGACGTGCAGCTAATAAAATTAATTGATTTGATGAAATATGATGTGATAAATTCATTAAGTCATCATTATTGCTCTCTTCAAAACTATTATCCAATGATAATTGTGAAGATGACATAACATCCATTAGATCACGACGAATTTGTACACAAAACAAGGCACTGTTGACCAAAAGACCATTCTAGATAAAAAAAAACATAAGTAGATGTGCAGAAGTCAGATAAACATATAATTCAAATGACACTCCTTAACTACAAATAGGCTACAAATAGTCTAATTATCGACATAACATAGTTATGTTTGACGAAAACTCTGAGAAAGCGCAGAGCCTTCTGATAACTTTTCTAACATTTTTAGGCTGCATTTCCCTCCCTTTATATGAGAAAATTTGCTTCAAGCCCGATTTACGTTAACCCCTAAACTAATGATAGGGAGTGAAGTAGTTAATCACTTCTCTCATCATGAGAGACTCGTACGACAAAAAGTCAGCATGGATCAAAAAAATTTCGGCTTGAACTTGGCACCTTAAGTAACTTGTAGAGTAGACGAAATATCAGTTGGTTAACTAAAGAGCGAGTGTACAGTAAAGAAATTCGTCTTGCATATGCATATGGCGGTAAAATATGGTCTGTAAACAAGGAGCACAATAGTAAACTACAAGCTTTCGACCATAAGTATCTTCGAAGCGTTACTCGTGTTATTATTATTATTATTATTATTATTATTATTATTATTATTATTATTATTATTATTATTTGAACACATAGATGTTGGTACAAGGAGGCACCAAGTACATATGTGCCACACAAATCTCATTTGATTTGTGTGAGGGCTGTGATACTGCCCGGGTGCCAAAACCGAAGCACGTGGTTTTCTTAGGGGGCCACACCTGGAGCCTTCAACCTAAAGTTCTGACCCACAAGGTAGTGGAGCATCGTAAGGAGATGCAGTCCCATGTTAGCCGGTGACCAACGATTGGTTCATACTCCATTTGTTCCTTCAGGATACTGGAGCCCATGTGAACCATTGGTTTGGAATCAGGGTTTTCCAACTCGCTTAGGTGGATTCTCCATATCCACCAAGCCGGTTAAAGCACCAGACATTCGCTCTTCGTCCTCTCAATTCCGCAAATAACAACCCGACTAAGAGGAGGTAGTGAGTAGAAATTCCCTGGCAGAGGCTATATACGCGTGGTCATGTGAGAGAATTTCGAGAGGGTGAGTGGACTCTTCCCACTCTCGGCCGTACCGGGGCATTTGGGGGAGTTGCTCGTGTATCGTAGGACGATCGGGTGTAAAATATTGAAATAAGATATAATGTTATAAGCAATGGTAGTAAATCAGTTTATGAAGCAGAGAATCCTCACTAATTGAATTGGTTAGGAAATGAGTTACATACGCCTAAATATCGCTCATCTCTATGATCATGTTAATGTAACAGTAGGCCGGAGAAAATAATACATTATGTATTATTGAACGATATCACTTTCAAATACAAGTACTTGGCTGGAAACCATGAAATACGGCAGATTTCTCTAATAGAAGACTAACACGAATTTATTTGCAGACTTTTGTACTAAACTCAATATTGCATGCTTGTCATGAGAATTTATCCGGGTTCAACTAGATGCTGACATAAGACAATAAACATACACACAGTCGTACATATACAACCTACTTGATCGATTCTCCAGGTTTGATAGGCTTTCCGTTGTTTACTCGGCTTAGCAATAATAAGTTGAACAACTTCAAAATGTTTTAGAGTTTCTGGATCGATTAATCCATTGATACTAACCAATTGATCATTACTCGATGGTGCATTTGGATCACCTTTACGATTTATATCTAAAACAAATTGATGTTTATTCTTTGAACTTTTTCGTGCGGACTTAGGCGATGATGGGGTCAAAAATGAAGTATTTTCATGATAAATTAACCCATCATCAGATAATTTCCATAATTGTGAATGACGCCTTGATGACTATTGAAATATGAAACGAAAATACACAAGATGATACTTGAAAGAGGAATGGAATGGCAGTTAACAATAGGCAATATATAGATAATGGCATTTAAAAATAAATTCAGAGGTTGTCATTCTCGGTTCCAATATCAATACCGAGGTTCAATTACATTCAAATTACAAAACGAAACTACCTATCATAGCCCAAACATAAGGGAAGCATGTAGGTAGTGTGAAGAGAAAAATTAGTAATTGAACAATTGTGTTCCTCTTCAGACATTTTTTATTCAACCAAAATTTATTTGTACCTACCTACTAGTGGCTAACATTCTGATAGATCTCCCAAAGTTCTCGTGAGAAGTCCTAATCAGATAAAACAACCAAATCGAAAAAAAGCAAATATATCTAAAGACGTTATTACGATGTAATCTGAGTAAATTTGGTAATAGTGGACACGGAATGAAAACTTGGTGGTCTGACTTTATCATACTGTCCATGAAAATAAAAGATAGGAATGAAATTCGTCGTAAAAATGTGGCTGATCGATGTTGTAATAATTGTCTCAAAAAAACACTATTGAGTACCATCAAGTAGTATAAAGTAAAACACAAAAATAAGAGCGATTATGAATAAGGCAGTCATTAATAGATTCAACAGAGTGTAAACCATCTTAAATATACCTTAAACTTACTAACCTTGATAGCACAAACAACATAATTAGATCCAGGAAGTATGTCGAATACAAGATTATGTAATGATGAACTTCTTCTACGCAGTGAATCAGTATCGGTTTTCGTTTCTGTTGGGACAATATAATCCATTAATGGTCCAAATAAAGTAAGGTAAACAAAATTATCATAACGTAAAATTTTACTGACATCCATTGTATCTAAGTTAAATATTTCACTGATATCATCCTAAAATTATGCAGAAAATGAAAATAACAAGCTCATTCTGATTTAGATATGTAAACATTAAACTGTTAACAATGTATAGAAAATGAGACTGGAGAAAGAAGGCAATCAAGAAAGAAAAGTATGTTTCAATGAATTTTGAAAAGGGAAAAAATGAAATTAGACACGTACAGTGATGACTGAATGTTCTATTAATTTCAATTTTAATGGATTACTTGTGTAACTTTGTTTGGTTAACGTATTACTTACAAGTAGAATAGATGGGTTACTAAGCAGAAACTTGGACTGGCTAACATACAAATTTTATTAGTTTTGTTCCTTTACAGTATAAAATAAGCCTGATTAAGACATTTCACTAAAAAATCAACAACATTCGTTCCACAGATGCGCTTGAAAAAGAAACAAAGGCATTGAATACTACACTGAAACAAAGTGGGTATCCTAAGAAAACTATGAATAAACACCTAACCAAGAAAATAGAACATATGGAGGGCCCAACTGTGAGAAAAAGTCTTTGTATATATGCGTACAATTTAGAAGAGATGGAACCAGAGAAATGCTAACAGTCCAAGACTGAAAAATAAATTATCTACACTTAACAAACAATATAATAAACCTCCTTATACACTTATCCAGTTTCCTTTGGTCTATTTTATCATACAATTTAGTTCTGCAAAATAATTTAAAGATATTCAGACACTTATTAACATTGTTTATAAAACAATTTATAGTAATTATCTTCTTCTATGGATATCAGGGTAAAGAAATAATCGAGAGAAAATCGAATTCAATTACTTACCTGTACACTAAAAATAATAGATGAACTACCACATGGTTCTTCTAAAGCATATGGAATTATAGATCCAGGAATTAAAAACGATGGACAAGCTCCACCATCCCATTTATCAAGAATTTGATTATTAATTTCATCAACATTATTATTGATAGATTCATCATCATGAATCGATGTTATGGAATGATGTAATACACCCTGATGAATATGTTTATCAGAGGTAGACGAACTAATATGTTGTAATTTTGAATTTGTATTCATTAAATGAATTGAATCAATTAATTGACAATAGTAAACACAAATTGAACTAACATTTTCAAGACGAAATGGTGGTAAACCATGATAATGTTGAATTTTTACAAAAAAAGTCCCTGATTTTAAAGTGATAATCACATGAAAGAATAACGATTGTGGAAAATCAACAATTTGATGAAAACGATTCAGTCTACAGAGAGAAAAATTGAAATGAATTAAAAAGTAAGAAAATAGGAAAAAAAAGTTAAACATTTTCATTGTAAAAATTAGTACAGTACAGATATGGTAGATGAAATCGAATTATTTCGAATGATCTTATCGTATATCTTCGTTATTTACTTCAAAACGTGGTTGGTAGCTAACAGTGAGATGTAAGACGTGCGTTTTGTCCTATTTGGGACTCGTCAGCTGAATCGCACTGTTAGCCACTAACGGTCTCTGCACAGGATGCATATATGCTAAAAAGAAACTGATCAATTTGTTGGGGACGTTAGATCCCCAGAACTCACTTGGAAAAGGACCTAATTTTGTCATTTTATTTAGAAAATTCGGATTTCTTTGTTTTCGCGCCAAAAACGCTCTTGACAACTTCATGTCGTATTTCCCACTTGAGAAATATCTTAAATGCTATTGGTCCATAGCGTCTTTTAGTATGCTATTTGGTAACTCTCCCCAAGGACGGTTTGTACTGTATATAGACGTTTTGATTTGTGTTTGTTGTTATCGCTCGTTTCTGTCTGTTTGCAGAATATACTTCCCCATTCAAAGCTTGGACTTCTTTATCTAGTTAACGGGGCTGGGATGCATCAGAATATCTAGCTTATTGGTCTTTGGTCATCAAGTCTTTTTTCTCATTCGCAGATTAAGTGAACTCGTAATAGCTTCGAACCTGGCACAATTGCAGTCCTAAACATCAATGGGTCGGTTCAACCAACCAATACAAGAGTGGTTTGCTTTACTACATATAGCAGAAGCTGTAGAGACTCGAATATATAATCCTAGTTTATGTATCCAAAAGTAATTGGTGACAACACTGTCTTTGCCCTGACCAGATATGACTTGATAAAAAATATTATCAATTTTTTTCACATCCTGTATTTTTCTTTCGTTTTTTTTTTACCTCATTCGGTTCGTATATTTCAATATTTAATTTTTAACACATCTCCTATTACGTAATCTTTATAAAGTTTTGTGATTATAATTTTAAAGCTCATTTATCCATGTTCAACATACTTCCAATGTTGAAAATCAAAAATGCCAAAAAATATTCGAGTGAATAATCGTTTAAAAAACTCGAACATTACCATCTTCAGTTAAAGCGTCACAATAGTTAATACAAAGTGTACATCACATACGTTATGTCGTTAAACAGTGATCCATCGAGTAAGGCAAGACACCTGATACATATGTCAAACCATTGCTTACCTCGATAGTTAAATGGATTAAAATCTTTTAATTACATCAGATTAATTGAGAAAAAGTGAAATATGATAAAAAATCAGTAAGATGTGTCCTAAATAAACTTACCTTAACATTATAATGAATGAATGAGCATGATCTATTTGAAAACCACCAGACCACATTGTCCATAAATCATCAGATCGATTATTGATTCCTGTTGTCATTTGATCATGAACAACAGATGATGATGAAGTGCTAATCGCAGCACGCATACATAAAAGACGATCTAAATCATCATTAGACCAATGAAATGATTGACTACGATTTGGATAAACGATAATTGAAGCTTAAAATAAAGAAAAACCAACAAAACACAAATGATTCAATAATACATGGATCAATTCCTATCGTTTACGAACTTAGAAGAGAATGGTAGAAAAAACAATAGATTATCTATTCTCATTGTCCTGATTTCATAAATATTAATTTCCCTTAATCACATTATCAGCATGTAATCTAGAAGTAGCTGGAATCTCGAAGTCACATATAACCATGCGGTCTATATGTAGGCTAACTGAAAATAAAGATCATTTTATACTTCCCAGTATTTCGTGAGAATGCAATTAACAAACTGAAGTGTAAGCTTTAAATGATTAAATCTATTCATAATGAAACCAACCAGGTATCCTAAACGAAGTAGGTGAATAGATGTTTGAACAAAGCAACTTACAATCACTACGTTAATAAGATAAGTGCTTGTAGATTACTACCACACTCATCCATCAATCAATGAAGTTAGAGCTTGATTAATAGGTTTAAATTATTGTCTGGCATACATCAACGACTTCAATGGTTTTAAAATAATTTTATAAATGATAATACTGTTCAGTAAGAATAATAACTACACACCTGAGCCGTTCTCATCAACTTTCGAGTCATGAAATACAACAGCTTTAACCACCGATTATGAAAATTATTATTATTTCACGATATTCAAACAGGAATTATGGACTTCCTAAATGGTTTTGATAACTAATTATTGAGTTCATGGAGTGACTCAATATTTTGATTTGACACATGTTAACTTTCTTCTAACCCACATAACACTTGAGGGTACGAGTAACGTGGAAGTATAACTTCTGAGATTATCGTAAAACGGATTATTATTCATATTTTTATGGTATAATTATTAAACGCTTGGACTGTTGTATTGTGGTGTATGCTACATATGCCGACAGACATGAGTAGTATGTAACACTTAGCAGATGTGAAACGCCTGGCGACAGAAGGTTGGAAAGATCAAATCGAAGAGAACGAGAACAGAGAGTAAGTGTTATAGCAATGAACGCACGACGGAGATCAAGACAATCGATAGAGGATTTGCAAATGAAGTATTGAACTCATGGCTTTCATATTTTACGAAAGAACTCTGTAAATTTGTATTAAAATACACTGGTTTTTCCCACCTGTGTTCACGTTCACAACAGTATTTTTATATTTTCCTATTGTGTGGTAGTGGCATTAAAATATGATTGGTTGTTGATACCAACAGCCTACGAACTATTAAATGAGGGATTTCCCTTCCTCGTATTGATTTCTACTTCGAACTCACTGAGTGTAACTGCTTGTAGTTGTGTTAAATAGTCTTAATCTGGTTCCCCATTTTGGGGTCGTGAATCCTAGTTCTGATATAACATGACCAGTCTTATTATCGCACTAAAGTATTATCGTAATATACGTGAGAGAGTGAGATAAGATATTTTAAACATACATAATATCACTTCATTCTAAGCTTTTGTTTGACTCATAAATGACTGTTCTATATCTTACAGTTCCAGATTTAGCATTCATTAATTAGTACCTTATTACTCTGATTTTGTTTAACTTATGACTAAGTTATGTACATATTGTCATTTCTCAATAATGTTTCTGTGTAGTCAGAATATTTCAGTTATACTATTGCGTACGTTTTGAGTTATAATCGAATAGGGTACAATGAAGAACTGATCTACCTTTTACCCTCATCATTCGATTGTAAGGTGGATCAACAAGCGTCAAGGTTTTCTATTCCTTGGTCGATGTGCTAATTGATAAATAGGTTACCGATAATCATTTTATCTGACCTTTAGATAACGTGTCAAAATTTATACGAGGGTTTCGTATCATTTTTGGAGATTTTGTTAGATATTAATTTACAAGGCCTGTTAAAACTTCCAATATGGTTGGTCCAAAGTAGCTCCGTCAACTTAGGTGGAATTTCAATCATTAACATTTAGGTTGGAGGCCGACTTTTTCTTGTTTAGTATGGACAATTGGGCAGCATTACGAACCTTTCCACACCATTTATGAATCAAAAGTGAGTATTATTATTATTTGAAAATTATCCTATTTTCATTATACTATTGGATAAACGCGAAAAGTACTCTAAGAACTCACCAGGTAAATTATTAGCTGTTTTTAAACAATATCGTTGTGTAACATTTAATTGATATTTTGTTGAATTTTCAATGATATAACGTGGTCGAAATGTGACCATTGTTGTAGTTGACAGTGATGAATCATTGGGATCATGACCGGTGTTAACTTCAAAACCTAAATAACGTACCGAAGATAAGCTGGAATACAGAGTAGAAACAGAGTAAAAGGAATGATAGTACACACGACGGTGGTGGAGAGATTAATTTAATTTTGAAAGGATTTTCGGCACAGACAGCCAGCCATCTTAACCAGTGGTTAAAGACTTTGAATGACATAGTTCAAAATCATCTACAATGTTACAGGCGCATCGATTCCTTGTCTTGCTCCACATTCTGAGATTTTAAATGCCTCGTAACTATTTGTGTTCAATTATTTCACTAATTTAGAATTTCTTGAATCATATCTTTGATCCCTAATCATTTCAGTCACCACTGATAATGTTACTACGTCAATTATTCTGATATTTGAACTAATAATTTCATCTCTCTGTACTAATGGGGTATTGCAACTTGAACTGGTGCTGTAACTGACTGACCACTGATTGACTGGTGTCTTACTCTGTTATGACAAGAAATTATAGGTTTCGGTTTGAGTGCATGTTACGGATTCAACAGTTCAAAGTTGATGAGCTTACAGGTTATGCCCAAGAGGAAGTGACATAACTTAACTGAAGTAGTAAGTGATTAGAAATGACAAAATTTAAGGAATGTAACACAGAACAGTCAGTTAAAACGTAGTGTAAATAGATAGGACCCCAAAAAAAGTAAGTTACAGTCAAGTATTATAATTCTCATATAACTAAGCACAAATCCTTAAAATGTCCAAAGTAAATAATCATAATAATCACTGACCTATTATTTTCAGTGTACACTTTCAACTGCAATACATCTACACCAGATTTATCTAAAGATATTCCAGGTGACCATGTACAACGCTTTATGTTATTAGTCAGAAGTTGATCATTTTCATTGTTAGGTAAAACATCATTCTCACTATGATACCTACAAAAAGTTAATAGGTAGAGAGAGAGTAAGAGGAAGTAAGAAAATGAGATAACATGTTCGTTAAAAAAATACATTTTAAAAAGTTTTTAAAAGTGTGATCATTATACAATTTTGTTGGAATATTTTGCAGACAAATTATAGACGAGTCTCAAATAGGACGAAACGTGCGTCCTGCATTCCACTATTAGCCATTATTCACCTTTGCTTATAATGCTTGTGAATTAAGGCAATATCGTGGCAATACACACAGTATGCACATATGCCAATAAGAGACTGATCAATTGCAGTCCTAAACATCGATGGAAAGATTCAAGAATAACAATACCAAGTGAACTTATAGATACTATTTTTTAATGTCATTTTGTCGAATCTATTCAATTAGAATTTGTAGATGAAATTCATGAGTAAACTATATCAAATTAGTTATAATTTGACTTGTTAATAAACATTAACAAAGTTCTGTGTGATAAATTGATTATAACCATGAGTATTGCATGTCCTCTAGTTTATTTGTTTTGTAGTTAAGACAATCCACATTCATTGTATTCCAGATACAAGAGGAGAGTTACTTTAAACAGTTGAATGTTTAACAATTAACAACACTGCTAACCCATCATCATGCGAATATCAAACGGAGATTGTACAGGTTACGATCGTTAGCAAAAGGTTTATGAATTACCGGGGAATTGATGCTTTCTATGACAATTTAAAGGTATATTAGTCAGAAACATCAACAGGGAACCTATTCAGAAAACCATTGACTTTTTATCCTACTAATATGATTACGTATTAATGTAGCCCCCAAATGCCCTGGTATGGCCGAGAGTGGGGGGAGTCCGCTCCTCCTCTCGAAATGCTCTCACACGGCCATGCGTATACAGCCCCTGCCAGGGAAGTCCTACTCACTGCCTTCTCGTGGCGGGGGTGTTGTTTACGAAAATGAGAGGACGAAAAGCGAATGTCCGGCGCTTTAACCGGATCCCAATTCTATGTTGCACATAGGCTCCAGTATCCTGAAGGAACAAATGGAGTATAAACCAACTTTTGGTCACCGGCTACCATGGGACTGCATCTCCTCACGATGCTCCACTGCCTTGTGGATCAGATCTTCAGGTCAAAGGCTCGGGGTGTGGCCCCTAAGAAAACCACCTGCTTCGGTTTGGGCACCCGGGCAGTATCACAGCCCTCACACATATCAAATGAGATCTGTGTGGCGCATATGTATTTAGTGCCTTCTTGTACCGATATCTATGTGTTAAAATAAAATAATAATAATAATACGTATTAATGTTATCTTGTCAAGCCTTTGATATTGTTAATCGTATTCTACAGATCAAGTTGTAATGTGAATTAATAGGGTAAAAGTGGCTTGACATAGCCGTACACTATTTTTTTGACTATCGCGAAATTCTTGAATCAACCGAAGTTCCACCAAATAACATTCGTCATAGAGTTTTATTTACAAGTTGATAAAATCCTATAGATACTAATGACTAAGCAAATAGAATATTAGTCAATAATCAGTATTCGATTAATTAATTATCAATTACATAACTGAAAAATAGATCAGAAAAATAGGAACATATATAGAGCAATATGATAAAACTAATATGTACCCTTTCCCTATACGAACACGTAGTAGATATCCTTCAGATTTATTTGCAAATGAAAAAAGTAACGGCATCAAAGCACAAGCTTGTTCATGTTCTTCGATTTGACCAGCAGCTAGTATAGATGTTTGTGATGATAAATTAAGTTGATTAGATGATAATGACGATGATGACTGAGCAAATATCAACGGTATACCAGATTTATTTAATAAACATATAACAGGACTAACAGTTAAATGACGTGCACCAAATGCTCTGGAACAAACATGGACCTTAAATATATAAATGTGATATGGAAAAAAAGTCAAACATGAAAATGAATTAGTAACGGTTTGGGTTATTCCAATATTGATATTCAGTATTGTGTATTCAGCAGTTTTTACTGGTGTGCGTTAGATCTGGATAGATTGACAATTTGTCACAAGTAATTTATAAAAGATGAATCGTGACAAATAGTCAAATTGAAGATGTGCGCTTCAACATATTAGGAACCCATAAGTTAGATGCACATTCACCCCAGTGTTAAGTTTGAAACTAAGACTCAACTTCAGCACTTTACGTTTTAAAATACATAAGTATCTTGCGCGTTTAACATGATAGCCTTTATGAAGTCTCAGTACATCAGTGGATTATGTGTTGGTATACTTCACGAAAGTTAGAGTTCGATTTCCGAAGTAAATATCAACAATGAAATACAGGTACATCCAATTGACGAGTCCTAAACAGATAGAAACATGCGTCTGGGATATCATTGTTAGCAATGATATATCTATTCATAATACGAAGTGAGAAGAGGTGAAGCTAACAGTTTAACTTTGAAGAAGATACCGTGTTAGACAATTTTGTTTATTTATTTCTGAATGAATAAGAAGAGAAAAAAAGCCAACTATCTAGATACTTCATATAAGCGTTTTATAGTAGAACAGAGCGAGCCATCAAAGTAGAAAGAATCGAGGGTAGAGGTAGATACTTCAGATACATCAATGTCAATACGGAAAGCGAGTGAGACACTTTTTTAATGCACACCAGTTAATCGTTCAAGTTCTTTATCTTGGAACAGGGTGGAAAAAAATGTACCGAATGTTCTTGATACATATTTATAAGTAAGTTGATAGAGATTCATTTAATGATTCAATGAGAACTGAACTGTATGTGACAGTTTATTCATCGTTTATTTTAATTTTTTTTCCAGATGTTTACGATGAAACTTTTTGTAAATAAATAAAATTTTGTGAAATTACAAAATAACATAGAATCCTGGATCTCGCGACTAAGTTATTTTGAGATACATTAAAACCTTATTTTCAGTAATCGTTTTCACAAAACTTTTCCTTGAAGTAGGATTAATAGGAAGCATAACAACAGATCCTTTACGTGTAAAAGACTTATTTATAACACAGAACTCAAGGTTATGTATGATCGATTCGTTTATTATCTGTAGCTCCAGAAAAAAAAAGTATATTGCAATCCTTATTGTTTATTAAAAAGAAACAGTATTATAAAAAGTATTCTGAATGTGTAAATCAGATTCAGCTACAGAATTTAATAATGAAAATATGGGACAATAGTAGAATCCAGATTAGATTCGCTACTAATTAGGTACTCTTTGCATGACAGATATCGAAAACAACTCCGTGAAATTGAGGAACGATCAAATAATAAAACATATACTCAATATACATCGATGATGCAATATCATGTCACGAGTGCTGTAAAAAGTATGTGGGTGATTTTCAATTCTCTGATGAGCACACTGTGAAAGCATATTTCTTCAAGAGAAACTTGAAAAGGAAAATTGGATAGGGCGTACAGGAATGAGTATTTAAATGAGAATAGCTTGGTTGGGTTAAGAGGATGTCGAAACTCGACCAACGCATCTAGCTGGCATCAACGATTAAACTCAGTGAACTTTCACAAATAAAATGTTTGCGTTTCATTGGAAAACTGGATCATTTAATTAATGTATATCATATAAAAAATGGTTCATTTTATTACTTACTTGTAATTCTAGTGGTCGACCCAAAGTATCATATAAACGAATGAGCACTTTTTGATTGTAAGTATTTGATGGAATAGACAATGGATCGCATTTTGGAAATCCATCCAAATGAATACCGAATTTGATGGTGTTTACTGGAATTAACTAAAAAATCCCCAAACCAAAAAAAAGGAATATCTGTTAAAGTCTTGAAATGCAACGTGTAAAACCATCGCCTTCTAATTACGTAATAATTTATACCATTAGTAATGTGAACAACAATGAACTTGTAATTATCATAGTTTGAATCATGAATTGATCATAGGTAGACCACCAATAAGTACCTGAAAGCGTTAGCTGGCCGTTTTGTCCCAGCACGGTACTCCTCAGAAGGTGGAAATTTTCAAACTCATGAAGTTCATTTAGTAAACAATCACATTAAAACAAATAATTATAGTTAATTTCAAATTTCAGTGAATTATACAGGAACCTCAATTTGATTGGTCAAATACCAAAAACATTACTATTTTCAGTACTTACTTTTCAGGAACACTTAAAGAATAACTCGCTTCTTGCACACAAACTTTGAAGAGTTTTAGTAACGAGCCGTGATTGTATACTGAATCAGTTGAAGAATGAGTTGCATCGTTATGGAAGATATGAAATAGTTACGAACTAATCATAGGTAGATCACTATTAAGAACCTGGAAGTGCTAGATGGGCATTTTTGTCTTAGTACGGAAGTCCTCAGAAGTGCGTATCCACTACCTCACACCTGGAAATCGAGCTAAAGACACTCGACCTCGTGCACGATCGCCTAACATCCAAATCACTGAGCAGAGTCGTGGTTTCACACTGATAAGGAGATCTATAGTAAAAAATTGCCATCTAATGCTTTTAGATCTTCAATGGTAGACTAACTATGATGAATTCGTGACGAGATGATTTACTTATACACTAAAAAGTTTAAACCAGACCATGATGAAAATTTAGGTTAGCAGCAAATGCACATGTAACAGATGAAGTTATCAGAAATTGTGTGTCATAGACGTATTCAGTGTATCGCAGTCAGATATTCCAAATGAAAAATATATAAATACAGGCTTTGAAATCCGCCTGGAGTCCCTCCGAGGGCTACTGCCGGTCCCAAGCCCAGATAAAGGAGGAGGGTTGGGCATGGGGTTAGCGACCCCATCCCGTAGAAAACTAACTCGCTAAAAAACGCTAACCATAAAAAAATTAGTCAAACTTTCTAAACTCTGCCCTGGGAGTCAGAAAGTCTTCATTTAGAAGAGTTATGACGCCTCATGATGAAGGCCGAGTTCCTTCGGAAGTCAAGAGGCCGATGCCCCTTTGTGACAACCAGAGAAACCATTTATTTAGGTACATGGAATGCTCGTACAATTTGGGAGACTGGGAGAGTCTTCCAAATTGCTGCAGACGGCTTTGAAATGAAATCTTTTACGAAAATTATACGATAATCTACAACATTCACACATTTGATGAACAGGGTGATGTTGTTGGGTACGATGTGCTTAGCAAATATGAATAAGCTGTGAATAATCCTACCTCACATCTTCGTTTACAAAACATTTCACAGTAAATCACTCATATTCACATTGTAAACTGAAGTCAATATATGAACATGATTGAATTATTGGTTAGTACACGATTTATCTTCATAGCTCAAATCATGTTCGATAAGTTTATATTGGTTATTTCCTTGAAGAATTGCAAACAAATTACTTGAAAGAAACACGCTGAAGTTATTTAATTTTAAATATAAATTCTTTTTGAATAGAATGTATAAATAAATAAAGTGGAATATCACAGCCTTCTGATGATTATCGTTAAACGATTTATACCAATACAAGAGTTACGAGTTGATAAACACATCATACTCTTAAAGTTTGGATACGCTCAGAACAGTACAATGGCAGTTTCTTTGATTGTGTTACTGTGTAGAACGAGTTTGAACTTATCAAAGGTGTCTTTTATTTCAATATGTCCTTGAACGTCTTGATTTACTTGCCTTCGGGCCTTTAGGTAGAGTCAAGTGCCATTGAAACGCATAACCTAAATTATGAATTACACATCAAACTTATGATTGTTATTATTATCGAAAATTCTTTGTTAATATCCTTTATATAGGACTGATCTCAGCTACTCAATACCCTTTGTATATTACCTCAATATAAATATAAGAGATTCAGTATATATACACTACAGTACGATAGTTATGCTATGCTCCTCCACTAGGAGTAACAGGCGTAAGTGCATAAGTTATGTGAGTGAAATACTTACATTATGGACACATGCTTCTTCTTTCGATCCCAATGTACCATTAATATCAGTTTCAAAAATAAAAAATACCATTTCACATGGTAATAAATTCGTAATTCTTAATACTGGACCAACAGTAATATGATGACCTGGTAAAGTGATTGGTAACAAATGTTTATAATTCGAATACCATTGATTAGAATATAGTTTATTCCAATGAGGATCCAAGGGAAATTGATCACGTACAACTGTTACACAAATATGAAATTTATTGTTATTGTTATTTAAACTCGATGGAAATGCTTTATTCAAAGATGATGGTCCAGAAGTAGAAGTAGTAGTACTAGTCTGTTGAAGTCGTTGTAAAGAACTAATCTGATGTATTGCTCGTGAATTTGATGGAAGTTGACATGTTGATATCAGTATAGCTTCTAACAATTCATCTATGTAAATACAATCAAACAAAAAAGAAAATAAATACAATTAACTTCACAGAGATTGACCACTAACCAATAAATGATATTGTGTTTGACTACTACTCCTCAGTACGGCTAGTCAAATTCAACCGATTAATTTGTTATGTAACTAGTTTAAGCCATTCAAAATCCTGTCCATTATTTTAATGTTAAGCGGTTAAAGGTAGTTCGGGCAGAAAACAAAAGATTTTTAGGCAAGAAAGGCAAATCGATTTAGCAGTGGTTAAGGTGTATGTAACACACGGTTACACACCGTTTACATTGTTCCTTTGCTTGTTAGCTTGGGTAAAAATTGGAAAACTAGTTAAATGTAGGTAGACGAGAAGTGGTTGTCAATCTGACGTTAACATACATAGTGCATGTAAAAAGTGAACAAGAAAGCAATTCAAATCAGTAAATTCATTTAAAGTATACTCATGATCAGCGGACAAGTAGTAATGACTAGAGTTTGGCCTACATGTGCATCAGTTTGAGTTGACACAATATATCAGGACAACAAGATAAAGTTAGCAAAGGAAAATGTGGTTTGAGACAAAAAATAACTTTAGGAATGAGATGTATAAGTATTTTATGGCAAAACATGATTGGATCTGTGTGACTGTAACCTTTTCTGAGCCGTATGTCAAACAGTCTTCAAATATTGGTTCCAGTTATCAAATATACTAGAAACTAACTACATCGCTTAGTTCAACAATCTGTGACTCCACAAGCTGATCAAATGTTATGGCTTAACCAATTTGCACTTTTTCAACTTACCTCCACATTCACTTTGTGCGTCGAGGTAGGAGGTGGTGATTCTACTCAAATTCTTAAATCCAAATGGACAGAGTGAAATTCAAATCTGCGATTCCTGAAGCTGAGAGTCGAGCGTCATTTTTTACTAACGAGCTGACATTATTACATCAAAGTTCAAAATTTCAACAAATAAGCTTATTAAAATCTCATTAACAACACTAACCCGATTGTTTTAAACTTGTCCAATTCACCATTCTTACGGATGAATTCCTTCGTTTATCCACGAAATCAGTTAATGATGATGACAATGATGAAACTGTAGTGGTTGGAATTAAAGAGGAATATGTAGACTGTAGTTGTTCTTCTTCGGTCATTATCTCATTGTTATGATGATAAACACTAGCCCAATCATATAAATTATCCGTATATTTATTTTGTTCATTAGTGTTATTCATGAATAACGAAGAAAGATTTTTTCGATTCATAACTGATTTTGTTGGAGAAAAGCATAAATTTCCTAATCCTAATGACATTAATCCAACAATATTAATTGGGACAGAATAAGTACATTTTGGTTTACATACTGTTAATAATAATATTGATTCATAATATACATTTTTAAGATATGTATCAGATGAACTGATTACTGATTCTGATGATTTATGCAATACGAATGCTGAGGATGATGATAATGATGATTTCGGTGATGTAATTTCTAAGCCAATATTAATACTTTGATTTAAATCATTTGTTATTGTTAAACCAGATCTTAAATAAATCGAATAATGTGAATTCTGATCATGAACTATATCAATGATCAAACGATTAAATATTGGTAAATGATATTTCCAACATTCATTCTGTTCACTTTTCAATATTTCCTATAAGAAAGAATTGAAGAAAAACAAACAATTCACATTTATTAACATAGAAATGAATTGCACAAGATGATTTGTTTATTGCAGTATGTATGTCAAATAGTAATTCGATTGAGTTGGACAAACAGATCAGTTTAGTGCATAGTGTTGATTAAATGCATTAGGAATTTCAATGGTTATAAAAGTCTTCAAATGTTGCGAAAGATACTGTTAGTTCGACAGTGTATTAAAGAAAGTATGTATTAATTGGTGACATTGGAAAAACGCTACACTATAAAATTGAAGACAATATATATGTCACTAGTCTAAAGAAATCTAGTTCTTATTAAAACACAAAACGATTCTAGATTCAGTGACGCATAAGATGTAAGTTGTAAAATCTTGAACAAGCACATAACTATTAGCTACTTTCCAATGAATAGACCATTATGAAATCCCACCGCCAAAATGAGAAAAAAACTCTGCCAAACTCAGTCAAGATGATAAACTGGTTAAAATGTTACATGAATACAAAACTGACCAGAATATACATCAATATGAAATAAAAACTTACAGGTTCTGCATTATTCAATCGTTCAATAACACGATAATAAGTGCCTAATCGATCAAGAGATATTGGATAAATTGGTTTCCAACCATTTATTTGTACTGATAAACTAGGCAGTTGTATAGAATCTACATTTGTATTAATTTGTTGAGTATTTGTTGATAAGTTATAGGCAAACGATGATATTTTTATTGGTAAACATACACGTGAATCTGGACCAAGTACGTCAGAATCACCATCAGTACTATCGTCTAATTTATCCGGTATTAAACTAAATGATGAAATAAGTAAATAAATAATGAATCGATAATTTGTCGAAATTTATTGTTTATATATAGATTGATTAGTTAACTGATCACTAACATATAAATATTTATGATCATAACCCTATAAACTATCAATGAAGATCATGAATTTTAATGATCATAGTTTAAATATCAGTCATTTGTGCTGATCAAACTGATAACGCGCTTTGATCTGTCTTGGTTGAACATATGAAAGACTAGTCAATTGACTAAATAACTACGATATAGTGAGTAGCAATCATCTAACATTACGGAACTAAGGATTATAACAGTTGTGAATGGAAATCATAGAATCATTTGACTTTTAAATTAATCATGAATAAGTGATGAAAAATCTAAAACCTATTACATCAGACCATTTTGACACACTACATTAGTTGACACTCGTTATTTCCTGATGTAGGTGTACGTTAAAATAAATATAGGGGCCACTAAACAAATGTGTAGCGTCATTTCACGAAATTGATGACTGTTGAATTGAGTTATGTAGATAAGTACACACCACTTAATTGGGTTTTATGGCGTTATGATAACGAAAAGTTGAAGAAATTCGATGACATAATTCAGAATAAGTTTCAATGTACTCTCCACGACAAAAATGTGATGTCTACTAAACCATAGTTCTCCTGACGTAATTGTGTTATCATCTTGGTGAATCTACATTTTCATAATGTAATCATGATAGAGTCTTATAGATTGATAGCGTTATATCCAAACGAAGAATCAATCAATGATAAATGTTATGAATTATTGATGGACTATTATTACATATATTCTTACAGGATAGTTAAGAATCAATTATATTATTAATTATACTCATACTCCTATTATCATAAGTTTTCATTTGACCTATCAATTAGTATAATACGATTTACTATTCTTACGTCTTTCTCAATCTATTAGTTACAGCTTTTCACACTCACAGCCATTTTTGGTTTGATCTTGTATAATTATTATTCTTCACCTTGTGGTAAGATGTAGTCTGGTCTGCTTGTTTATAAATGATATATGTCTAAAATATACGATTAATCTGACAGAGGTTAATATTTGTGTTCTGGACTAAATGGGTTGGGATAAGTGAGAAGTTGTTATACAGAGGATCAATAAGGGCTGAGTTGACTCAGGACTGCTCGTGCTATTTGACGCATAAGGACAAGGTCATAGAAATCGATATCGTGATTGGCGATTTTGTCACGTGATATTTGACGGGCCCCAAGTCATAACAGGTAGTCAACAATTAACATTTTAACATCAGAAGGGGTTTTGTGGATAATATAGTAATTTCAATGGTTGAGATCATGAGTCAATTGAAGTTAGACCAGTATGAAAAACCTGGTCTAGTGGTTAAGTGCTCGTAGGCGAGATTGATAGGTCCTGGGTCCGAATCTCGCGGGGCAGGATCCTGGATGCGCACTGTTGAGGAGTCCCACAATAGGGCGAAATGGCCGTCCAGTGCTTTCAGATTTTCCATGGTGTTCTAGCTTCAAATGACTCATGATCTCAACCATTGAAATTAACTTTTTGTCCAGTTTCCTAGTTTGATCTTATTTTTTACTAGGTAGTTAGGGTTAGGATTAGATTTACAGTGAATAATAATTAAAAAAATTTAACAAAATTTAAAATTATTTGTTTAAAATAATAAAAAAAACCTACACTACTGGTTTGAATAATGAATCTAACTGATGATTTTTTATCAATTTATATCGTAAATATGTTCCAGTTTCATTAATTAAAATAAATGAACCAGTGTTTTGACTAGTTAAAAATGAAAGGTCTTGTTGATTTACTACTGGTATTGCATCATACTTTGGAAATTGTTGTGCTTTGATCCATGTATTTAGTAGACGACGAATTATTTGCACTAATGGAACTGTTAGATTCAATTTCAAACTACATTGAGCTAAATTAAAGAAGGAAGAATGGAATACAAAAAGAAGGGTTGAACACATAACTAAAGGGCTACAAAAAAAATGAATTCTAATGAATAAATAAGATTATAGACATATTCCTCATAACAGAAAACAAAATAATGACATGTCATTATTTCATCTTAACTTATAGTTCACAAGTGCCTAAAATTAGTATGTTTAAAAGTATAACTACGTAAAAGTAACCAATTTAATTGACATTGAGAGTGTAGCAGCAGCCCCTGAAGCAGTAGGTATCAACATACACAAAGGAAAAAGCAAGATCATCGAACATAATACGGAGAACACCAACCCAATCACACTTGATGGAGGAGCTCTGGAAGATGTAAAAACCTCCAAGTACGGTGGTAGCGTCATCGATGAACAAGGAGGATCCGATGCAGACGTAAAGGGGAAAATTGGTAAATCAAGGGCAGCATCCCTACACTTAAACAATATATGGAACTCAAAAAACTTTCGACCAACATCAAAGTCACAATCTTCAATAGGAACGTCAAGAAATTTCTACTGTACAGAGCTGAAACTTGGAGAACTACCACAACCATCATGAAAAAGGTAAAAGTATTTATAAACAATTGTCTACACAAGATACACAATGTTTGTTGACCGGATACCATCAGCAACAAACCAGCTTCTAGATAATGAGAAAATTAAGAAAAGACGATGGAAGTGCATGGGACATACGTTGAGGAAATTATCAAACTGCATCTCAAGGCAAGCGCTAACTTGTAATCTTAAAGGTAAAAAAAGAGGAAGATCAAGAAACACATTGTGTCGAGAATTGGAAGCAGACATCAAAAGAATGAATAGCAACTGAAAAAGATTGCCCAGGATAGAGTTCGTCGGAGAGTGCTGGTGGACGGTCTATGCTCCTACACGACGTGTAAAAGGCGTAAGTTAGTAAGCATGTAAGAGAGTGTAAATTGTAAATAATGGACAATCATCATTGTTTTAGCCTTAATTTTCATTGCAGTCTAATGTCAGTTGGAATAACACTGAAAGACACATTTGTTTCGTTCAAATTTGGGACTCCTCAATAATGTAGGCTAACCGCTAAATTACAAGAGTTTAAATCCAGGACAACAATATAATTTGAAATTCTTACTAATACTATAATAAATCACAAATACAGTTGAGAGAAAAGAAATTTCATTTATTTACCAACTATAAAGAAAAAACAATAATTTGACACTTACATGAACAGTTTAAAGAGATGGTTCTACTGAAATCTTGCTCAAAATTTTCAGTCCAATTCAATAAACAACTGAATACAATGAGGAAGAAAACAGATTGAAAAAGAAACGATTTTTTAAAGAAAAACCCATGAAACGAATCAATAATGTGAAATTTTCACGGATGAAACCATGATTCAAGAATCTCAGATAGATTACCATGGAAATCCAGTAAGCAACAGATGGCTGTTTCATCCTAGTATGGAACAGCTCAACAAATCCTCCGTACTATTTTTTTTTGTTGAAAATTTACTGTCTACTTTTATTAATTTGATGTGATGCATTTCACATTAAAATTGGAGAGAAATTGTTGAGTACATAGATAAAATTTATAAACAAATGAGGGACCCACTAGTAACTTGACCACAATAGAATCTCTTCAAAGTGAGGATGGATAAATTAACAGTTCACATTAAGCTATTGTTGATAGATAATTTGGGTATTACAGTGATCACTAAGAAAAGTCATATTTGAAATATAGTTTTAATCATATATTCAACGTTAATTTCATTGGGTCTACACAAGTACGACCATAAAATATCATTTCTAATGCTACGAGAAAATAGTTCAGTGTTACGAAAAAGCTCTATAGTCTAATAGCTTAACATTAAGTGGTCACAAAGATCGATACCGATTTGATTCAACGCTGAAGGTCATCAGACTTCTATAGATTCGAGCCACAACTCAACAAGAATAACGCGTAAATAACCTCGACCAAGATGTGTCATACAAATCTATTGTTCAGTACTGAGTACCTTCATATTGTAATGAAGTCAGATGGAGAAAAACAATTTGGCACCACGATATAACATTTTAGTGTTCTGTTTCAATTCGTTTAACAAAATTATATGCATTGAACGTTCTTTACTTAAAATTAACTGTCTATATGGTAATGACTATTTAAGAAGTGAACAATTTTATTTAAATTCACACTAATTTCTGAAACATTTTTTGATATCTATTATACATAATCTCACCTCCATGGTTCCAGTACAGGTTCCCAAGCAATTAGATTTTGATTATAATAAAAGCATGAAATCCCAGTGCATTCCAGTGTAGCTTGTAAATTTAATCGCTTCCAAAATAGTTTCATATCTATATAAAACAATGATAATCACAACTATGCATTAAATTATTTTCCTTTTAAAATTAACGCTATTAACAATAAACCAACATTAGTAACTTTGTTACTCTTTACGGGGATCAAAGAATGCACTAGAAAAACAACAAATTCAATATCGGTTACAGGTTAAATTACATTACCAAAGTAAAGGTTGGATGATATCAACAACAATCTATAAATAAGAAGGCAAGTAACCAGTTAAATCACCTGAAGTTATGAGAAAGCTAGATATCATATCAAAATGTAACATCAGTCTATGAAGTCATTTGAATATTGATCTGATTGGTGTTATTAGATCCAGGCTACTTGCTTGGGCTCCCTATGGTAACCACAATCAGTTTTCAGAGACGTCAGATAGTATGGCTCAGGATTAATCACAATGACGTAGACATAACCACTCTTTAACTCCACATGGATCGTCAGTTCCAGTACCAATCAAATGTACCTTTATATATATATATATATATATATATATATATATATATATATATATATATATATATATATAATTCATCGATTCGTCGACAAGATTAAAAATATAAACACTACAGAACAAACGATGGTGTGATTAGACGTAACAGCACTGTTTACAAATATCCCACTCAGGAAAACTAGAATATATCCGTGAACAACTTAGATGACCAGAAATGGAGACTAAAATCCCTGTGGACATCATGTAGGATTTATTACTAAAATGAACTATCAAAGACAAACTTCAAATTCGACGATGAAACATATCGACAAATGGGTGGTGTTGCGATTGCTTGACCACTAGATCTCATATTGGATGAAATTTGTCTCGGCAAACTAGAAAATGTTCTACTGATATAGCATATTGACAATTTTTCATTTTACTCCCGATATATGGACGATACGTTCACTCTTTGTAAAGAACATACTAACCGGATGGAGACATTTATTAAATCCACGTACGAGGAAGAAAACAGAGGAAGGATAGTCTTTCAAGATGTTTGACTTAAATAAAAAATAGATGGGTCACTAACAAGAAACTTAAAATAAGAAAGTACTTAAACTAATCGATATAGTTAGTTTTGTTCATCCAAAATGCAAAAGAAACCGGATTAAGATACTTCGTTAAAGAATCAACAACATATGCTCCACAGATGCGGTTGTTTAGGAAACAAAGGTATTGACAGCCCTACCCTGAAAGAACGTGGGTATTCTAAGAAATTTATGAATAAACATCTAGCCAAGAAAAGAGAGCATAAGGATGACCTAACTGTAAGTAAAAAGTTTCCGTATTTACGCCTACAATGTAGAGAAGATGCATCCGGAGAAATGTTAACAGTCCGACATTAAAAGACAAATTACCTACACTTGCCACTTCTTTCCGCATCTATCGATTCAACTGGTCTGGTGGAGCAAAGTACGTTAACATGTGTTCTAGGAATTTGTCCTTCTGTGCTCGTGAACATTACCCAGTGTGGTTAAGCAGAGCCACACTTAGAACTGTTAACAGCTCGATTCTAGCTTATTAAGTACAAACGGGTTGGTCACACAAATAACATGAAGTAATCATTCACAATCATATATGGTGTCAACACCAATCTGTCTAAATCTGTCAGACTAACAATCCTTTAGACAACTGAAATAATATCTATTCCGATCAAAAATTCGGAGCTCTGCATTCACAAAAAAAACATTCAACTGCTCCTCTTACCTTACTTAATCATCATTTAATGGTATGGTCACGCCATACAACCTTCTTCTTAGCGTTTCCACAGCTTAAACCTACCCATAAATCTTATTACAATTACTACTGAAACAGATGTAAACCCATTGGTAAATTTATTCAGTATTCACTCCTATTTGCACTAATTCCTACCCGATTCATATTACTCAACATATATTATGTGATTTATCATTTGTAAGTACACTATTATCTCTTTCACACCCCTTCATCCACGTTAACCACATTTATTCTGATCGTGACCATCTCACAATTTCAATTTGATGTTGTCCAGAGGTAGAATGAAAAATTCACAAATAAATCACTCTACTCATACATAATACCATTTAATGAATATATTTCATATGTTATAACTCATTAACCAAATACACTAAGTCTATCTACTCGATCGAAACTACCGGCAATCGAATTATGCGAAACACAGGTTCCAGACTACATCATGTGGTTTAATTCAATAAAAATAATCAGGTCATAACATATGATATGTAATAATTTGGCTGATAATAAATGCCTACTTACTTTCAACACAAAATTTTATCAACGGGATCTCTTCAGCTAACAATGAAGATTGAATTGATGATATTGTATCAAACAGACATATTGAAAATGCAATTTTAACCTATAAAAGCAAATCGAAGATGAAAAGTGTGCGTCATAATAATCAAAACTACCGTTACTATAATTAGTCATTAAAGAATCAAGGGATATATACATATTCAACATTAAGTACCTCCACTAGAAGGGAATCCAAGAAATTTTATCTCTTGGAAAAGGTTTAACCACTAAAACAACTGAATTGGCATTCAGTAGTGCAACTTCAATTAACTCGTGACATAGAGCAACTGTTTCATTAAATCATTCTAAAATTACCCATTACTAGTGATCAAAACTTCACTGGCATTCTATTGAGATTAGGAACCGATCAATGTTAGACTACCATTGAAAACCTGGAAGCACTGGTGTTATATTCCGAAGAGAATAATGAATGGTAACTGTTGAGATCTATTTTTGAACTAATACTATACATATATTTCTTATTGTATAACTGTTAAGGAACTAAACCATTCATATCCGTGTTCCTCTTATCACAAGCTTCATTTTGACCTATGAACTATTATTATAAGACTTACTATTCTTGAGTTATACCCAGTCTATCAATTACTATCTCCCACATTCACAGCAACTTTTGGCTAGATTTTGTACAAATGTTATTTTCTATTTTATGGCACGATGTAGTCTGTTTGGTTTGTATATAAGCCCAGTATGTTTGAAATACATGATTCATATTGCAGAGGCTGAGATCGGTGTTTTGGACTTAATAGGCACGGCTAGGCGGGAAACAGGACCGATAAAAACTCTAGACTGCTTGTACTTGTTTTATACGTCATTGGTCCGGTCGATAAATCACTGTTCTCTAATTGGCGGTATCGTCACGTTATACATTGATAGGGACAAAAAGCTACAAGTCATAACAACTAAACGACCGTTTCGGTTTAGTATGGGACTACTTCTCAACAGTATGCATCCACGATCCCATATGTGAGACTCAAACCCAGCAGCTCCGATCTCACTCGATATCATATGATATTTAATATGACTTAATATACAATATTATTATTCTTAGATTGTAAAGGATTACACAGAGAGAAAAATACTGAAATACAATGAATTCACGTAATTCTAACTACAATTATTCAGTATCATTTTTGTTTTGTTTTGCTTTAAGAAAATTACAATTCCAAAAAAAAAAAAAAAGAATAAAAATATAAATATCTTACATCGAAATTAATTAAATGTTTTGAAATATAATCAGCAAAAATATTTGGCCAAAATGTTGCCAATAATGATGACGATGATGATGATTTTTGATTTGAAGTTGTTATTGACGATTGTACATCTAAATGTAAATAAGAGGAAGGAATTTCTTTATGAAAAAAAAAAGTTTTATACATGAAGGAAATCTGACGTAACATTCTTCCAAAAAAGTACGAATCAGAATTGAAATTTCTTTTTAATAATTAGAAGTTATAGAGTAATTCGTAAACACATGCATACATTGTTAAAGGGCTGTTAATAGTCGACAGTTAACGTTAGATTTTGATTTTATGTTACTTAGTAATTTCCAACAAGGCGTGCCAATAGTCATGAGGGAACTGATACTGCCTTGGGGGTTTTGAACCTAAATTAATCAGCTTCATAATCTGTGACATTACCACTGGGTCATAACTGAACACTTAATGGACTGAGATATTTACGAAGTAATCAATCTGTTGTACATAGACACATTATTTAGTGTAGATGAAGAGAGATACAACGAGAAACTATAAGATTTTTGAACATGATGGTGTTTGTATTACCTGCGTAGGATAGGTTTATTATGATAATAAAAGCTTTATACAAAAAAAACACTTCATACCAAAATGTGAAAAAGGTTACTCAGTCTCTTAATCTTCTATAAATAGTATGAGAAAAAGGGGTGGTTATGGCTGCTAATGTAGAACTGCTGCTAGGATAAAGGCATTTTGACTTATTGTGTGACCATTGTTATCCAGAATAGATAGATCATCTAGGTCGGTGGTTGGATGTAGCCGACAGGAAACCTTGTACCTATGCTTCGTGCTATTTATCACTCGCGTATCTGTCATCTTGAGATACCTGATGCTTTCTGGAGGATTTGATCTCGTATCACCCAGCTTAGCAATAAGAAATATTACTCCAGAACATTTCGACAGCGAATTCGGATACCTTCGGTCTCGTGTGCGAACGCTTGACCTGTATATATCACGTGCGACCATCTCGGTAGATAACTACCTCACATCCGATACAATTGAAATGCACTAGTGTTGGTGTCTCATTAGAATTCCAGAAATTTTCTATCAAAGCTAGTCACCAGCCAGGAAATGATAATTGTAGGTATTGGTTATACAGATTTTTATTTAAAAATGACTCGCTAAAAACATTTCACAGATATTGAAAGTTTCGCTTTTCTGTTTTCCGAATAAATATTATGAATGCTTTCATAATTTTACATGAGATTAAAATAACTAAATATGGACAGGCAAAAATTAATTAAATAAAACAGCCAGCCCTATAAATGTAACCGCCACAAAATCACATTTAGGAAAATTCGACATTTGTTTCAAGTAAATTCATCTGTGCAATCACATTTTTGATTAAAAGAAACATAGTACAAGTTAACATGAGACCAGATGTCGAGAAAATAATACGTTATTTTATTATTTATTTAAACACAAATATTTGTACAAGGAGGCACTAAATATATATGCGCCACATTTTGTCATTCGATTTGTGTGAAGGCTGAGATACTGCCTAGGCGTCCTAACCGAATCAGAATGTTTTCCTAAGGGGCCACACCCCGAGCCTTTCACCTAGATGTCTAATCCACAAAGCAATGGAACGACATCAGGAGATGCAGTCCCATGGTAGCAGGTGACCAACAATACGTTCATACTCCATTTGTTCCCTCAGGATGCTGGAGCCCATGTGCACGATTGGTTTGGAATCAGGATTTTCCAACCCCCTAGGTGGATCCTCTGTAACCACCAACCCAGATAAAACACCGGACAATCACTTTTGGTCTTCTCAATTTCGTGATCAACAGCCCCACCGCGACAAGGCAGTGAGTAAAATGTTCTCTGGTAGTAGCTGTATACGCGTGGCCATGTGAGAGCATTTTGAGAGGAAGGTTAGTCAAGGATAATAAAGTTCTGAACGATTCCTAATTGTTTGATTACACAAAATTACCAGTCTCAATTAAGTTTATGAGACATTATTTGTATTCAAAATGCTGTTTATATCTTACCTGGCAATAAATGCACAGCATCTCGGTTTTCACTGGCATTATTAGTGTGAGCATCAACTGATGATGATATACTCTCTGATGTATTTATCATCATTAGAGAAGAGAAAAATCGTATAGCATTTTGTAATTCTGAAAAATTCGATGTAATATGAATGTTGGGCGCAGCTAAAGACATTTGAAGCTGTAATTGTGCTGGCTAACATAAGAAAATAACAAACGTTTGAATAAAAGATTATGGCGAAGATAGTAGATAAATAAAAATGTTGACTCTTCATAATACCATGATGATAACATGTATGGAGGATTTATATCCATGTACGCAACAAACACTAACTTTAATGTGAGTCCTGATGACACTAAACAGTTGTGTAAACCGAAGCAACTATCGACAATAATAAAGTAAACATTACGCGTTTACCAGGTACAGTTTCATGTATTTAGCCATGAAACATAATCTAGATGTAAGGATTAGTAATACCAACAAATTAGACGAAGACAAATCCAAACATATGATGTTAGCAGCTATAACTCAATTCCGTTAATCACTAAGCTGTCCATTCAAGTGTCTAATAATCATTCAAAGACATCCACAAAGTGAATTGAAATCCATCAAAGGCAATTAAACTCCCGTTTTGTTACAACTTCTCAGATCGTTGTTATACATTTATTTAAGGCAGAATCATGCGTACTAACGAAAACAAATCAGCCATTTCTTCAAACATGATATTAACCTCCAGTTTTGCATAGATAATCCCTCCGCTTCATCTCTCTTCATTTGCTAGTGTACAGGATTGAGAATAAATTCACAAAAAAAGAGTTTTGTCAAGCAGACATTTCTTATTTTATGTCTCCACGAGTGCTTTTCGTTCGATAAATACATTCATCGATTGATTTTCATTCTATATTATTTATTTAACATTGAAATTAAGTAAATATTGAACTTGGAAAGTGACAATAACACAATGAGCCAAATTTTTTAGCGGACAATTTAAATCATTAGACATTTTTTGATTATCTGAATTAAGTTGGTTTCAAAAAACGCCAAATCAAACCGTAAATGTACATAATAAACTGATGATATTAACCATTGATTGAGTGTTCAACTTTCAAAATTACAGGAGTTAAACTAATAAACTTACAATGAACAACAAATATTTAAGAATGAAGGTGAATAGTTGAGTAATAGCTTGTTCGCAATTCGTCTTTAGTTAGCAGACAATGAATGAAAAATTACACATTATAAAGAGCTTAACATCATGAGATGACTTTACCTAAATAACAATTGGAAGCTAGGAGTTTTAATACAAATAGTTCATCTTATCCAAGTACTCCCCAATGGTCTAAGATTAGGATGACGTCATCAATGATTGAATTGAAGAATTTCAGGTTTGGTAGTGAAAGTTGACCCTTCAACGATTCACATTCCTATCTTTTATCAATTCAAAATATTCCAGTTAGCATCTATTGTTAACGTCATAATTACCTCAGTATTAAACTTGACTAAACTTCATAGGTTATGCAATCTCAATAGAATGTTGAGATGTTATAGGTGAAAATTTCTTGTTTCAAAGATAATAACAATATTATAACATGTATACTCATTCAATTACAATTAATTTTATATCATAACATAACTGAATAAGAAAGAAAGAAATCATTCATTATAAGCGTATATACATACTTTAACATGTAATAAATTTCTTTGCCAAGGAGGATATTCAATAAAAATATTTGATGAACAAAGTAATCCAGTATTCATAAATGTTCCTTTCATAGATGAAATTGTTGATGTGGATGATGCAGACAATTGAGATGAAGAGGATGATTTATTATTTAACAAGTGATGATATAATTTAGAATAGAATTTTAATGGACTAGGTATAATAATCAATGATTTTGAATTAGAATATAAACAAAATTGTAGAATATCAGTGTGTATTTCATCATTTAGTATTTCAGATATTGAATATTTTGATGTATGACGTGAGAAACGTACACTTGACTGGAAAAAATAAAGACACAAGTAGGTGGAAAAAAACAAACAATAATCAATTCAAATGTGAAACAAAATAATAATTACAGATAACTGACTAGCAATTGTAAACGTTTCTAGTTATTTCTATTCAAGATAATATATTGCTCACAGAATATAGAGAGATGAACTAGTGTATAAGACAACTGGCTTTCAACCAACAAGTCAAGCATTTGAAGCTCACTGTTCCACATACTTCAATTTTAATGATCATTTATACTGATGCTTTACATACTACAAACTTTCATTAAAGGAGATATATTCAAAAATGAGAACATGCTAACCAATACAATGTTATTTGTTTAAATTCCTCAATGTTTATTATCCCGATAATAACAGCAACCTTTAAATATTCAACCCGGATAGATTGATAATTCACTGAAGAATAGTTTATTGTTTAGTCGTGAATAAATGGTATTTGTTCATATATATATATATATATATATATATATATATATATATATATATATATATATATATCACAATGAATTTGGTTTTTTGATCAACAACACAGAATTGAATGTTTGTCTTGCATGATATCACCTGATAATAAATGCTGTTAAATTGATGATTCGCTAGACTAGAGTATTGAAACAACTTTGATTGATATCCCAAGTTTCACAAGAAATATGAATGAATGCTGAGGTGTAGCTTGATTTAAATGATAGATAATAAATTGACTTAATGCAAAATTTCAAAAATTTGATGATCTAATATCACAATATTTGGTATCAAATAAAATGTTATTTCAGGGCTATGCGGATTATATAAATAGAATTTTAGGTGTTCCAAGTTTTTCGGGAGAAAAACATGTTCGACGAAAGTTTCATGCTAGTCAACAAGATGCATCTACAGTCCTAAAGGAACTTGTATTCCCAGTGAGACTTGAACTCAAGTCACTTAGATTGACAATTTGAGATGCTACCACTGAAACATCCGAGAAGTAACTGCCCTCCTGTAAGACAAAGATATTTACAGTTGACTGATAGGGCCGAGGGTGGGTAAAGTTAGCTCTCTCTCTCCAAACGCTCTCGTATGACCACAGATATACATTCCCTGTCAGGAGAGTCCTACTCGCTGACTTCTCGGGGCATTACCGTTGTTAACGAAACTGAGAGGATCAAAATAGAATGCCTGGTGCTTTAACCGGGCTGGCGGGTAGAGAGGGTCCACTTGGGGGAGTTTGAAAAACCTGATTCCAAACCAATAGTGTACATGGGCCTCAGGATCCTGAAGGAATAAATGGCGTATGAACTAATAGTTGATGACCTGCTACAACGGGACTGCATCTCCTGACGTTGCTCCACCGCTTTATGGATCAGACCTTTAGGTCGAAAGCTCTAGATGTAATCGTACATTTAGAATACAAACAATTATGGACAAGTGCTTACTAATAATACAATTCTTACTTTAATGAGAAAACATGATTTTTCGTATGGTATACAGGCTTCACAATCTTCTATGCATGTATGTAAAGATGTATTCAGTACACCGGAAGATAAGTTCAACTCGGGTCTATGATTAGAACTTGATTCATCAGAATAAATCTGCAATTTGGAAATTGTTCGCGTCGTGGACATACAATCGATACAAGGTGAAATAGGTCTAATGTAAAAATATTTAAAAAAACATGAACCCACTTTAATGCAGTAAATGAAGATAATCAACAGATAAATTAACAAACAGAGAAACAGATAGGCAATGAATTAATAACGTATCCGTAAATCTAAAAACACTAACTCCTATCGAAAAAAGGAAACACAGATAGATATATATGGTAACTTTTGAGTTTCTACGAAACCGTAGAGAAAAGTCCTATGTTTAAAAAGAGCGAAGTTTTCTGGCATTAATTAGTGAACTGCTCATAAGTTAGCAAATAGTTACCATTAACTTTCGGTCCCTAAAGAAGAAATGTTGTTCCATCTATCAGGTTTGGTGACGGATATTACTTACATATGATCTAAACGGATAATCTTAACTGAATCTAGTTGAAGTAAAAGCTTCTAGAATCGATTGAAAAAGAGGAAAACAGAATTTGAAATTCGCTTCATTCAGAATTACCATGTAAATAACTGGTGGTACATCACAGAGGACATAGAATTCCAGATCAAAGTCAATGATTATATAACGCCAGGTTATCAATGAATTTATTGATTCTTAAAACAATGAACAAGTTATCACTAGAACATTAAAAGGATTTATCTAAAATCATATTCATTATGTATTAAAACAGAAGTTAATGATTTATTTATAACATACTTTTGTACAGTGTAAACAATCGAGGAATTTTCACTGCCAGACGGTAAAGGAGATGATAAGAGAAAATATTGAAAACGTAATAACCAATCCCAGTCACAAATTAAATGAAGTTTCATTAAAGAGAATATAAATGTTGATTGTAACAAAGAACTATTGGAACAAATAAAAAGTCTCGGCGTTTTCACCAATGTCTCATGAGTCTGCTTTACTCTCTCCTCCTCCTCCTTCTCAATTAATTGGTCAGATAAATCTGTTGATAAACTTTTTAAAATAAACTGATTTTGTTCATTATCTGTAAAAATATAAAACAATAGTTGATTAAGTCAGACGAAAAAAAGAAGAATAAGAGGGGAAATGTCAATTATCAGACCTTCAACAAGAGGTACCCTCAAGGCATCCCACCACAGAACCACCATAGTAACCATCAGGTAAAGAGACAATCGAAGACTCATTGGAACTTAGTACCCCTCGTGTATCATATATCTTGATGGAACTTTGTATTGTGTTGATACAGAGGTCCCCGATATCCCGCGAAGAAATGATAAATGTCTGAAGGACGGCCTACTCGTTTTCAACATGATACTGCGCAAGGATGAGACAATCTATACGTGCCGAATACTGGTTACCCGGTTATCGGAAAGAAAACATTATAAATCACCTATGACATTTGTGGGCTGCCGTATTTAGATATTTTTTAACAAGCAGCTAGTCTGCATATTGCTGTCATCAGCTATTATAGCATTCATCAAGTAAACAATAGTCTCTGAGTACTATAAGGTTCGATTGATAGAAGGACGTTTGAGGTTACATGGCCTCCGTAAGAAACGCATTTCTGCTCACCTAAGTTTTTCCGCAAGTTGGATGGGGTGCTATGTATTTTGCAATGAACGTCATGCGTGACGTCACCTGCGCCATTACAAACGATTTTGAGACACGTGATTCAATATCTCTAACCATTGATTATAATAATCACGCGGGCCCCAACCAGGTAATCCCAGTGATGTCAGTGATTCAATGAACTGATGCCACGTTTTCGTTTGGTACGGGGTTCATAAAGCTATCTTTAAGCCATAATATTTGTATTCAAGTTAGCAAATACCCTCGAACATAATGGATTGATTGTCTGACTGATCAGTCATACGCATCACAGAACACAGTGCATATGTGCAACAATCCACTTTGTCATATCACATCATAGAGAGATTAATTTATCAAAGTCACGTTTCATAGATAAATTAAAGCCTAAGTCTAAATACTTAGGGGTTCATAAAAAAGAATAACATTATTTAAATAGAGATTACCTTTGTCAATTTGAGTTTTCAATAAATTTATATCGTAGCATTGAAGTTGAATAGATGTACTTCGGTTTGAAAAATATTCATAAGTTAACAGTGTATCACAAAAGTCGATTATAGCAAACTGATTAGATTCATTATTGTTATTAAAAAGATTATTCTCTTTTAGATTTGCATTAACAGTAGAATTATTATTCATAATAACAGATGAGTTTGATGAATCAAACAATGTAGCCTGAACTGAATTCAAACGGATTTCAATTGCAAACTTAGTCCATATATTTGATTCAAGAAATGGTTTCTAATGAAGTAAACACAGAATAAACTTTCAATATACATTAAAGTTACGTAACAACCATGTAAATCAATATAGTGACTATTACATATATGATACAAGTAGGCATATGAAAATCATTCTGGCTAGTCAATTTTTAATCAGTATTATTCAAATTATAAGTCTCAATTTTCTATTTCGGATGATCTCTAGAACCATCCAGTTAGTCGAAACAACTTAGGACCTGGGACATATTTGTTCTCGTCAAAGTTACCTTACAACAACTGTAACAGCGAGACAAAATAAAAAGGATATGTAACAAACAGGTTCAAGTGAGTTCTATGATTGTTATCGTTCTTAAACCTTTAACAAAAACCAGTCAACATTGAGGTCCGACAGGACAAGCTTTTCATCATATGTGGAGAAATTCGAACACTTCACTTCTATCTGGAATTTGTGCTGACTTACATTGTTAAGAAAAACAATGTAAGCTCCACGACCAAACCATCAAGCTTAGAGAATCAAACTTCAACAAAACCATCCATTTAGCACTTCCAATCATGAAACTCTATCTAAAAAGAATTATTGGTTTGAGAGTTCATATTTTTTTAATATATGTAAAATACAGTTTTAAATTCCACAAGATATATATTAAAATTAGCTAAGATGAGAAATAGTGAACAGAACTGGAATGCAAAATAATTATATTTACTAATTACCTTTGTATCGACACTAGGATTAGAATATTCACCAAAATTATGTGATAATACACCACGAATTAAACAGTATGTATGTTGATCTATATGGAGTTGACAATTTGTGAATTCGCCACTTATTTTCCAATCTGGGATTTTACCAGAAGTTAAATTATGCTCCAAAATTAAATTAACACAATCAGTAGGATTGAAAAAGAAAGTGGTGTTATTGGAATGAGATGGATATACTCTACCAATAGGTATGAACAACTGATTTGGTAAATGAACATACGAATTGTTATAGTTATGATCTAAAGAGAAAAAAAGCACTAAGTTTTAGTGTGACATACAATCAATTTGAAACAATTAAAGCTTGAATTAAAGTATCAGGGTTAGTTTCAACTATCTTTGTATTCCTACTGACTAATATGTTTGTTTGATATCTGCCCAAAAGTTGGATTCATTTTTTCATGAATTAATCGTAGACAACCAATGGATATTAAATTTCTTCTAGCTATGTATAAGACATGTTATTGTAAACTAATAATATAGTCTAACCTATTTATCACTCAATAATTACGTGATTAATATCAGAAGGGGTTTTGTGGATATTATAGTAATTTCAATGGTTGAGATCATGAGTCAGTTGAAGTTAGACCACCATGAAAAACCTGGTCTAGTGGTTAAGCGCTCGAATGCAAGATTGATAGATCCTGGGTTCGAATCTTTCGGGGGGGCAGGATCGTGGATGTGCACTGCTGAGGAGTCCAACAATAGGACGAAATGGCCGTCCAGTGCTTCCAGGTTTTCCATGGTGGTCTAGCTTAAATTAACTCATGATCTCAACCACTGAAATTATGTGATTGTTGAGAGCCAAAGAATAGTCTTCGAGAGCAACGAAAAAGCCTGACTTTGTAAGTAAAAGTTATTTTTTTAGAACAGTTTTCACAGTACCTGATTTCCTTATAAAGTCGGGATCAAATAAACTAGTTTGTTCTGCACAATATAAAGAAAAACCATAAAATTCCATAAATATTCTATCGATCAACATAGGTTGAGAATCATCAAGATCTAAAAATAAAGAAAAACAAAAATAAATCCATGAACAACTCATTTCAGTAAGACAGATTTTTTTAGAGAGTAGATCGAATTTCAAACCAATACTTTTATGTGGATTAATAACAAAAATAAACAATTGAATATTGATAGAATCATTAGTTAATGATATTTGAATATTGACAAACACACTCGATTAGCATAAAGGTTCTAATCGACCTAAATGACCAGAGTACAAGCATCAACTTTCTAGTCGGCTAGGCACAAAACTTTATACATAGTCTTCGTTGTATCAACTCCATAGTTCTAAGACCTTGAGGCCTGAACTTGAAATTTGTAAAAATTAGACATGGAATGATACCTATGACTTAATCTAGTTTTTAAGACAGCGGTATTAATAGAGATGCATGCTATTTTCAAGAAACCATTTACTGCTGACAAGCTGCGCCACAATCAGTGGTATGATTTCGTATTCAAACAGTAGATTTGCTAGTTTTAGTCTTATCGCGCTTCAATCAACCTATTTGGTTAGTTATGTTCTCAAGATACACAGGTTTTAATCAACACAGAACAGTAGGATTATCACTGAGAATGCGACCGACAACTGTGAAAAGGTAGAAACTATGATAATCTTATTAATTTATTTATCCTATCCTGATGCAATATGTGATAAATCAGATTAACGCAAATATTTACCAGTTCTTACATCATCAGTAAATGAATAAAATATAAAAGGCATGAAGAATTTAAAAACTTGGGATCTAAGAGAAGATAAAAATTGAGTACATCTACGTTTTTGAGGCATTGCATTCAAAGTCATTGACAATTGATTACGAAAATCACACAGGCAGTCTGGATCTACCTAAATCTCTCAGTGAAATAGTCAATGTCTTGATGGACTGATCAAACGTCTTAGTTTGGCAACTTCTGGCTTTTATTCTACACACTTTTACATTAGCCATCATCGCGCGTCGAGGTAGCTTAATATAGATAATTCACGGAACACAGTTGTTTATTGACACTATTTAGTACTATTTACCTTCTGAATTCAGATTAGAACATTCCAAAAGTCCAAGAAGACCATTTTTGTTCAAAGACCTGTGAATAAAATAATAAACATTGAGTAAAATAGTAAATACGTTAGATATAAATTTACTATAAAAGTGAATGGTGTGTAAATCTATAAATATCCTCGTTTTTTATGTACATTAGCGCTTTTTTTCGTAGTTCACGCATTTTCACTTGTGTTCAAGTTTCCGTGTAAATTTAACCTGCTATTACTAGTAAGCGGCTAGGAAATCATATCGAGTATTCATTTAACAAACTTATAGGAATTTTTTAAGATATCAGAGCAATATATACATGAAGAACTATTTAGCATGTCAAATATTGTTCATAAAAAAGAACACTTCCATTAACAGTTAGTAAACAGAATGCTTTCTCGATGAACATTCTTGTAGTAATTCAGTAATCTAAAAGATTCCTCTTAAAATCATGATCTGGGAATCCTGTGACTATAGCTAAAAAGTCCTTGATTTCAAGTGGATAGAATCAGCTGGTAATAACTTTCATTGAACATATTTTACACTTCAATAAAGTTTATTCAATGTATAACATTACAACATTTCATGATAATGGATTTCTTTTTGTAGACATAATATGAAATACAAGTGGTTAATATCTTACCGGATATTTGAAAAGAAATAACGATTATCACATTTCTCATTGGCTTTCGACTTTGCAAACATTGATTCACAAGGAACATTTTCCTGATTTGTATTCCACAAAAATTTATTATTGATTTTCAACTGATTAATATTGGCAATAAGTACTTTGGAACTATAAGAGCTAATTGGAATAATAAGATTTAATGGACCGCCAGAAACATTGACACGTACACGTGAAGATATGGAAGGAACTGTGGGAATCTTGAAATTGTTTTAAAACAAAATAAAAATGAAAGTATTGAAACTTCAAAGAAAAAAGAACGAAACGAAAAAAAACATTTGTATCATCAACTGAAATTTTTAAAAAATACAATGTGATCGTATTGTGGTGCGGACAGATATAAGTAATATGTAGCAGGAATCAGAAGTGGAATGCTAACCAGCAGAAGATTGAAATAAAGAGAAGAGGAAGGTAAACAGAGAGTACTCAGAATAACAACAGAATCGGAAGAATAACAGTGTATGTAAAGGAAAACTCAAGCAAGACATGCAAATGTTGTATTAAATGTATGATTTTTATATTTTACAAAGGTACTATTTAATTCAGTATTAAGCAATAAATTGGTTTACTATACCTGAGTTTTTGTTCACTACAGTGCTAACAACCATCGATGTCATGATTAGTGAAGTTATCGAATAATGAAAATGAGAATTACATTTTCAATTAGACTATAATTGAAATGGTAATATTACCACGTATCAACAGTCTATTAAACTATGGTGGGTAGGAATGTGTGTAAACGATAAGTGTGAGGGACACACATAAGATAAGTGATTTTATGAAATCTTACGTAACTATTTATCCTACTATAAATAGTTAATTTAAATATATGTTAAAACTTATCATTTCACTGTTTATATTCATTTCATTTACTTTCATTACAGTTTGTTTCCAACTAATATTCTAATGAATTTTCCATTTAATTATTTTCTAATGATTATTCTAATATGAATATATCAGTGACCAAATAAGCGGAGATATTAATAGAGTATCTAATCTTCAACCAGAAAGGATTTATATAAGAAATCTAATGATTTCCAACTAGGATAAATGGAGCATCCTTAAAATAAATAAATCAATAATTAAACATTAGGTGTCTTAATCCAGATGTAGTAAATTGCATTTGCATTATGTCAAATTGGAATAGTAAGCGTACGTGTCAAATCCGGGATTAATGTTGACTACACCTGATAGATTTGTTTGAAGACATAAATATTGGCACAAAGGGGCACCATTTATATATACCCCACAAAATAATAATAAGAATGTGAAGATATAAAGACAGTAGGTTGCGTATAAGAAAACAGAAGTACAACAATGCACAGAAAATAGTGTATAATAGTGAAATAACAATAATGGAAGTAGCAGTTCAATTAACAAAAGTATGACCACATAGAATTCTTCTAATTACAGAGGTTACGTCATCTTTTTATGAAAAAAGTGAAAAAAAAGTTACAGCAGGATAGCAACTGGATTATATTCTGAGCCATATCTGATAACGTCTCTAGCCACTGTGTTACACCATCTCTCGGATCCCAGCCACGGAGTCGTGAAGGACCAACATAAACTAGCCCTTTGCAGCTTTCTTTCATATTACGACATCATGTCATACACTGCACTGACCACCTCTCCTCTTTTTCCAACCAGTCCCAGAGTCGGCAAATAATGCACGATGTGGAATTCTCTGAGATGACATTCGTAAAACATGTCCAAGCCACCGAAGTCGATGTTTCAAGATGGTGACACCAATTGCATTATCGTCTCTGTGACCGATTACACGATGCCGAACATCTGAATCACTAAGAAGGTGTTGCCACTGGATGTCAGCAATCCTTCGGAGACAACGATGATTGAACACAGAGAGTCGTCTAACATCTTCAACTCGGAGAGGCCAGGTTTCACAAACATAGAGCGAAAGTGCTCTCACAGACGCGTTGTAGATCCGACCTTTTACAGCCAGACTAACATCATGAAGGCGCCAAAGGTGGTCCAAATTAGCATAAGCCTCTCTGGCTTTCACTATACGTGCATTGATCTCATCACTCACGCCACCACCAGTACTTATGCAGCTATCTAGATACACAAAATTCTCGACTACTTAAATCTGCTCACCATCCAGAGTGAGTACAGGATTAGAATCCTGTCAGTCTTGTAGAATTACTTTGCACTTCGAAGGTGCAAAGCACATACCGTACCTACGAACACTGATTGCCAATTGATTAAGTGCGGATTGCATGGCTTGGGTATTATCGCATAGTAAGAGAATATCGTTCGCATTCTCAAGGTTGTAACTTTTTTTTCACTTTATTCATAAAAAGTGGTTGTATCTTCCTTAACTGAAAAAGTTTTTCTGATTGTACCTTTTCGTTTCCCCACTATTACTAATATTACTACACTAGCTTACACTAATCTGTGGTCGCTATTGTTTTTTTTATACTCGCTGTACCTACTTTTTCTATTCCCATTCTCATTGTTTTGAATGACGCATATATATGATACCCCCTTGTACCAATATTTCTGTGTTCAAATATATAGAAAAATAAATAGTTCCACCTACGGAAAGCTTTTTACAACTTTTATTTCCTTTAAATAGTCAAATAAGGTTATCTCAGCATCAGTCGAGCGGTAAAGCCACTACAACAACATTAATCCAACGACCTCACTAAACCATTAAATCGGTAGTAGCAACGGGCGGTGTGTAAAAAATATCAACAAATTCTTATCATCATATTATAAATATATAACTTATAATTATATACAATCATGATGGGAATGTGTCTATATAGATACGTAATAGATCTCACTATTTTGAACTTGTGTTAGGATGATCTAGAAAAGTTCTCGCAAAAGACACTCAAGGATCAGGAAACCTTAAGAAGCATTTCATCCAATCAGCGTTCACTTGGAGTTTAGCCAGAAAACATCAAGGATGTGAAACGTCACATGTAGAGGTTCTGATTGGATGATTGTTATACCGCTACTATATTTAGTAGCATTTCAGAATCTTCGAGCAACCCAAGGACATTTAGAGTAATATAAAAACCCTATGTTTTCTATATTAAAATGAACTTTGCGCCTTCTCTCTCGTGTTCAGGTCGCTATATAGTTCTAGCTTGGGGGTTTCAAGAATAGCTTAGGAATCGAGTATAGAGTTTAAAATCGCAAGACTTATCAACTTGAAATGAATAATACACATGGCCACGCGTATAAAGCCACTGTCAGATAAGTCCTACTCACTGTCTTCTTGGGGCGATGTTGTTGTTGACAAAACTGAGAGAACTAAAAGAGAATATCCAGTGCTTAAAAAGGGTGGTGGGTACGGAGGACACACATAGAGGAGTTGGGAAATCCTGATTTCAAACCAATGGTGAACATGAACTTCAGAATCCTGAGATAACGAATGGAGTATGAACCTATTGTTGGTCCCCTGCTACCATGGGACTGCATATCCTAGCGTTGCTCCACTGCCCTGCGGATTAGACCTTTAAGTCAAAGTTCGGGGAGTGACCCCCTAAGAAAACCACCAGCTTCAGTTTGGGTGCCTGGGAAGTAGTAACGCAGCCCTTACACAAATCAAGTGATGAAGTGTGGCGCATATATATTTGGTGCTTCCTTGTACCAGTGTTTAAGTAAAATAAATAAATAACATGCTACTATTCAAAGTGTAAATAAATGTATGATGCAAGGCATACTTGAAAGCCCTTAACAGCAGCTCTTGTTCCTTTGACAAAATCATAATGTTCTTTAAAGTTAAACAACGAGTCAATGACACTCGTTAAAAATGACTGTGTGTGTACATATGTAACAGTTGGTAATTGTATTGAAATGTATATATCTTGTTCATCGTCAACACTGACAGTTGGATTGGATAAACGCTGATGAAAATGCTTAGCAGGTTTAATAAATTGAAAAGTTATATAGGATAACTGTGAATTATCATTGTCATTTATAATATTACTCGGATAACACAATTGTGGCATAGTCAAGAACCGTGTTGGATATAAGTTAGCATGTTTCTCCTGTATAGCTTGTAACTAAATATAAAAAGAATGAAAAATAAAATGGTTATTAGAAGGAGAAGAATTGTAATTATGTAACGATTGTGATAGTTGAATCTTTGAGAAATGTGAATGAATGTTAGATTTATTAAGATAGCAATAAAAGAGATATTTCCAATTCTATGAGCAACATTTTGACTTTCTTCAAACATTAGTTACGACTTATAAAGTAAGAAACTATCTTATCGATAACCAATGTTTCCATCAAATAATACTATATTCTGCAGTAAAAAAAACCTACATCTCGAAGGTATGAGTTGAACTGCACTTCAAGTACAATTAAGCTACAGAATAACCAACTCAGAAAACTTGATAACGTGATTCAGTTATAAGTCTGAAATTGCTTATGCTTGAAATACTGGAAGTTGTCATACTGTGTGAATTACTAAAAATAAACACTACAAATACTGACAAACAAAGTGAAGGTTAGGTATTCTTAAGTTAATTAACGCAATATTCTCACCAGAGGTCTGAACACAACTACTCATACATTTCAACAATACTGACACTAAAAAACTCGTAACAACTGTTGAGATCTCAAGAAAAATACAACAATATGACATGAAACAGCAATGTATGTTACAAGGGTTGAACCCATAACATTAAAAAAGTGAATACTGAAAAGATTGGACTTTTTCTCACTCATCCCAGGATGAGACTATTATGTTATATAGTGAGTTGACTTAAGTGGGGAATCTAAGCACTTGGATTGCATCTTAATGATGAAGTGACGTGTTCGAATCGATAGCTGAGGTTTATGGATGTAAACGCATAAAAAGTCGTCGGCACACAGCCCTGAATACTCCAAAATCAAAATGAGACGATTGTTCATTTATGCGAAATCTAATAATCATTCAGTCAGTATTAGTTTATGACGAAAACTACCTTCATCCTAGTAGTACTTTCTACCAGGAACTATTCTGTGAAATCTCATGACGTTTTTAAACGACCGGGAGTGAACGTAATGTTAAGACTGATTAATGTAAATACATTAATTTTAAACATTATAAATGAAGTAGAAAAAATTGCATACTTTAACATCACATATTTGGCCTTTAATTTCCAAATAAGAATAGTTGACAGGCAGATTAAATGATGAGAACTTCTCATTATCTGTAATGAAATAATTAATTTGTGCTTTGGTTCTAATTAGGGAGAGTAAAGCAATATTTGATTCACTTTTGTTAGATATGAGATGAGGACTATTCTGACATTCCTTTTCATTGTCTTTTTCTTGATCTGAATTGTTAACAAAACAGTAAAGAGAATAAATGTCGAACAGAACAGCAATTTTCGGATTGTTCCAAGAAGAAACTAGCGCGCAGGAATTGGATTCATGAAATAAATCTGTAAAAAAAGACAACAATCAAACATTAGGGAATATATGTTGCAATATGGAAAATAGCTTCTAAAATTTGATAATTATGTAATACGTGCGTGGTGAATGAGAACACAAGTGAGGAAAATCAAATGTATTCGAACACAAAATTACAAAATGCCTTAGTCAAATCTGAGAACCATATAGTTAATACTTCATTTTCCCTTCGTTTCCACATCACTCATTTGCTGTTCTCGTACTATTTTACTTTGATCTTCTTAACCTTCTACCACCAGACATTTCACATAAGATTGATGATACGTACTACTTATATCTGTCGACATCAGTAGCACACAGTTTAATCTATATAGTAATACAGTATATCATTGTAGCTAATAAAAAAATCTCATTAATTGTAACGATTGAAATCACCCCGTTGTCGGTATTCAGGACTAGATTTCGACCAGTATTTGTTGAATTACGAGCATGCAGTGAAGAATGCTTCAATACACAGTTTTTACGAGTTATTTAGCACATTTGTTATTTGGCAAGCTAGGGATTCCAGGAAGGGTTTTCGATCTAATTTGGTGGCCTTTAGCTGAATGCAAACTGCATTCCAGTGTTGATATGCACATCTGAACCTCAACCCAGCGCCTTTTACTTCAAATATCAACGAGTTATTATCTACTAAGTCTCTGAGTACAAATAGTTATTTATTTTTTCAACCATGAGTATATAAAGTCTTAAGGACCTATTAACTGTCACTTTTAAAGTAGGCCAAAATATGGCAAAAACTTAACATTACAACTCTTCAAAACATCACCAACTTAAGATAATAATCAAGGCTCTATACTTGTGAAACCTGGCCTCTCCAAGTTGAGGATGTTAGACGACTCTCTGTGTTCGATCATTGTTGTCTCCGAAGGATTGCTGGCATCCAGTGGCAACACTTTGTTAGTGCTGCAGAGGTTCGGCATCGTGTGTTCGGTCACAGAGACGATAATGCAATTGGTGTCACCATCTTGAAACATCGACTTCAGTGGCTTGGACATGTTCTACGAATGTCGTCCCAGAAAATTCCACATCGTGCATTATTTGCCGACTCTGAGACTGGTTGGAAAAAGAGGAGAGGTGGTCAGTGCAGTGTATGACATGATGTCGTGATATGAAAGAAAGCTGAAAAGGGCTAGCTTCTGTTGGTCCTTCACGACTCCGTGGCTGGGGTCCGAGAGATGGTGTAACACAGTGGCTAGAGACGTTATCAGATATGGCTCAGAATAGAAGTCAATAGCGATCCTGCTGTAACTTTCTTCATAAAAAGTGGTTGTATCTTCCTTAACTGAAAGATTTCTTCTGGTTGTACCTTTCCGTTTCCCCCTTCATTGTTCTCTCTCTTTTTTTTTATAATTCCCCACGTTCATTAATTTTTTTTTCTCCTTCTCCTCAAATTATCATTGTTTTGTGTGGCGCATATATATTTGGTGCCCCCTGTATTTTTTTAATTTATTTTGACACATAGGTATTGGTACAAGGAGGCACCGAATACATATGCGCCACACGAATCTCAGTTGATTTGTGTGAGAGCTGTGATACTGCTCGGGTGCCCAGACCGAAGCACGTGGTTTTCTTAGGGGGCTACACCCCGAGCCTTTGACCTGAACGTCTGATCCACAAGGCAGTGGGGCATCGTAAGGAGATGCAGTCCCATGGTAGCCGGTGACCAACGATTGGTTTATACTCCATTTGTTCCTTCAGGATACTACAGCCCATGTGCACCATTGGTTTGGGATCCGGTTAAAGCGCCGGACATTCGCTTTTCGTCCTCTCATTTTCGTAAACAACACCCCCACCACGTGAAGGCAGTGAGTAGGACTTCCCTGGCAGGGGCTATGTACGCGTGGCCATGTGAGAGCATTTCGAGAGGGAGAGCGGACTCTCCCCACTCTCGGCCGTACCAGGGTGACCCCTGTACCGATATTTATGTGTTCAAATAAATAAATAAATATATTTAACACGTAATTCAGAGATATGCTCAAAATGTGATTTTGATTTGGGAACTTGCACATAACAGACAAAGAAAATATCCAGTGACTTGCCAATTATTATCATTGAGTTTATGAGTTTATTGGATATAAGAGGTAATTTGAAGTACACAAATTGAAAGACATACGACCATACGAAAAAAACATTTAGCCCCACCTTAAGCCATGAAATTTACATAGTCAACTTCATTTATTTCATAAGGCATACCGATGATTCCTAGCATATTAAAAGTGTTTCTTCGAAAAAGTGTAACTTTATTGGAGTTTCGTTTTATCTATACGATATCCTTACGCAATACTCTATAACTGTCCACAAAATCTTACCGATGGATCTGATACTGATCAACTGGATGTAGCTATACTGGAATAAAGAAAACGTGTGAACATCACAAAAGAATAGAAAGCTAGTCCTGAATTTCTATATTAGCCATAGTTTAAAACACATTGAACTTTTAAATTTCGATAATGCAATCACATTCATTCAGAATGGTCAAATACTAACAGAAACTGAATAATAACACGAGGGAAATTCAATCCTTAATGTTCAGTAACGCTCATAGTCTTCTAAACTTTGGTTTACTCTTTTAGAGAATAGAGACAAGTTGCACAAAATTGTATAGAAAACAACAGAGAAAATGTCAATATGCAAGTTATCAATAAAATATTTTCATTGTAGAGAATTTATATCACAAACTAATCTAATTTATACAATAATTTGAAGTTAAGAAGTACTACAAAATCACCATCCAGTGATTTATATGACAAATTAACTCAATCATCTGAAGGTCAAACGCTTGCTGTAAGTCTTAAAGGTTCTAGGTTTAATTTCTGGTAAGGCGTATTTGATGCATACTGTTTAAAAAAATTTCACATTGGAACGAAACAGCTATGAAATCCTTTCTAACCGGTAGTCGAATAGTAGTTGATGTACATTATGAAATAAAATATTACCTTGATGAAATTGCTCTGAAGTAAATTGTGTAGTTTCCTCCTTATAATCGCACAAATTGAAAAAGTCCAAAATTAATATCCATGGTTCACAGTACAGTTGAATATCAATTGTGTTGCAGATAAATTTTATGAAAGATTTAGTCTATGAAACAAACCGAATTAAAAATGTATGTATATTGTGATAGATAAAATATTGTATAGATAACAGATGAAAATTTATTTTAAAAGAAAAATTAAGCGATGAAAGAAAACCCATTTGAATTCGTACACTATAAAATGAAAGAACACCGTTAACCGATAAGAAAAGCATAAATGTTTATATTATTCAGCTTATTGTATTCGATGATCTAGAATCTAAAGTATTCAAGATTAAACTCATCCATCATTTTATTCAATTCGCTATTTGATTCATCAAAAGCATTTGAACAGTTAATTAAGGGTATAGTATCACTTATTATTTCATTTTGGATAGCCATTTTTCACAAACCATGACAGACTGAAGTACGGAAAATTGTAATAAATACTTAAGCCATATTTCTTAATGAACTCATTTTACTATCACCCATTAATTCGAGTTACAGGTTCACGTTACATTTCAACTTATTTCTATTTAATTAGCTACAAGAGAAGTAAAGCAAGCATTTATTCGGCAATTATTAACTAAATTCCAGATATAATTTCCGGAAAACTGGTGAGAAAATATGTCCAGTGGAGTCAGATTCTGTCGATACTGAAACAGTTCCTCATTAATGGCACTAAATGACGGTTGGGTCATTCAGTCAGTCAAACGCGTCACATAACCCGCCATATTTACGTCAGTTCGAATTGCCAAAACCCAATGGTGTAGCGATAAAAACCTGTCCAAGCAAATCTTAGAGTAGTAGAGGTAATAGCAGGACTAATAGTAACATCGCCAGTTGATTTAATTCAGAAATGTAAACCGTTGGGTGCCATCATGTTGATATGATATTTACACACTCACTATGAAGACTAAGGTTAGACAATTGGTGGAGTCCAATACTAAGATGAAATAACAGTAAAACATCAATTGATTTTCAATGATAGTCTAACCAAGGTTAATCTGTAATTTGAAACTTCAAATTATCAATGAACTAGTTTAATGAATAATTAAATTAACCGAAAAATAATTTTCAGGAAACAATTTAATAAATTTACTTGACAAAATGTTTGATGTTCATCAGATAAAAGTATAATACGCAAGGAAATTGGTGATATCTAAACAAACAAAACACAAATGATATTCCATTAAAATATGTTGATAATCAAAATACTACTGAAATACATTCAAAATAAAATATTTTAAAAATAAATGATAATAATCATAGATAACACACATTGTCAACTATTCGGTCAGCCATAATCAATCAAGTGCCTTGAATAAAATGTACATGACAACATGTCATATAGCATCAAAACGATAACTTACAATTTAGAAAATGAATAGCAAATAAGACAAAATAATTTACTTGCGATAATAAGAAGAAAGATTAAAAACATTGAGAATACAGAACGGATGGGTTGTGCCTAGAAGTAGAATGAAAGATGAGCATTTCATTCTATTGGGGTCTCGCAAAACCGAATGTAACTAAAGCAAAGTGTTTTAGTTTAAATTGGGACTTGAATGTTGTCAGCTACAAATCGCAACACGTTACATACTGAGCTACGGAGTTCAGATAACCACTAGCTTGTGCAACATGTATGAATTTCAATTTAATTTTTAATGACTTGGAATATCGCGTTGTTGATATTTTGACCAGTCTTAATTTGTAAATGTGAATCCCGTGAGGATTTCCTCGATACAGCCATTATGTTACAAGTTTATGCAGAATAAATGGATTGTGGCTGACAGTAGAATCCAGAACGCGCATTTCAAATTATCAGAGACTCGTCAGCCTGCATCCTAGTATTAACTTTCACTCCAAGAAACCAACCTAGCGCTTTTTACCGCAAACCCTCGATAGATTATCGAATTAGCTACCGAGTCCAACTAGCTGACTAAGAGTGACCAAACATCATTCGAAATATCAACAAAGGTATATGTCAAATCATTACAAATGAAATTAGGACAAATACTATGGTTTCTTATAAAATCTAAAATTAACAAAAGATAACCATAATCTTTTTTATTCTTATTTATCATACCAGAAAATATAAAAGTATGAAATAATCTAACCAATTCGGTTATAGAATCTAATCTCATTTTATTTTCTTAGAATAATGTTGATCGATATGACACATTAACAGGTTTAAGTACACAGGTTTGAGAAGCATACATTTATGTGTAAATGTTAAACTATACCATCACAAGTAATGTAAATCGAAAAAATTTGGTTTAGTTCGAACATGTGATCCAATAGTTGATAGTTAATTGATGCATAACCATTTGACAATGGTTTGAATTATTACCTATTGGACAATTAGATAAATCAGTTAGGCAATCCGTAAAGAAATTGTTTTCAACCTTTTCACACTTCTCAATCAAAGACTTCAGATATAAAAGTTATTTCTTCTAATCTCCTCTCAAAGTTGAATAACAAAAACTCACTTCAAATAGCAACACATACAAAAGTCATAAAATAAGAATCAGATGTAAACATGTATAATTTGATGCATTAAAAGAAACATACCATGAAGCATTGAACTAAAACAAAGTAAATATCAGAGATGGATAGTGGATAGCAGTGGAATCTAGGATGCATGTTCCATCCTATTTTGGAGCTCTTCAGTTGGATATACCTTCATCCTAGAGTTGCTAGCCACCATCTATCTCTGCTTAGAATGCTTTTAACTTAAGGCAATATCGAGACAATCCACACAGGACACACATATACCAATAAGAGATGGATCACTTGCAGTTCCAAACATTAATGGGTCATATTAAACAACCAATACGAAAATGAACTAAATTTAATATATTTTTGATCGAGATCATGGATCGATTGATGTTAGACAACCATTGAAAACCTGGAAACACTGGATGGCCGTTTCGTCTTATTGTGGGACTCCTCAGCAGTGTGCATCCACGATCCCGTTCGCGGGATTCGAACCCAGAGCTGTCCGTCTCGCGCGCGAACGCTTAACTCAATAGACCATTGAGCCGGAATGCAACGGTGTTAATGTCTAACCTCAACAAATCCACGAAATTGCGCGACCATCTCTAATTGTACTGAGGTAGATACCTGTCTCTACTCGACACAGATTAGCTCTACTTGTCATGTTCGAGAATTCCCTCACGAAGCTAGTCACTACTAAGCACATGATAATTATCAGTATCAGTTAGTATCAATAAATAAACAATAACTTACTTGATTTAATTCACAAACACTATCATCATCAGAAGCAGCAACAGCAGCAGCATTAACAGTATATGATAAATGATGTTTTCTATATTGTACTACTGTATTTAAACAATCATCATTGAATTTTAATTGAATTTTATTATTAAATTTTAATAAAATACTTTTTGAACTGATTCTATTTTGTCCCAATTGTTGTCGCTGTTGTTGTTGTTGTTGTTGTTTATAATTGAATTTCTTTTCAAGTTGATTTATTAAATGGATATTATTCAAATTAATTTGTATACATGATGGCATTTGAATACCATTTAATAATAAATGAAAACTAGATGAAATAGATATATAATCTAATGTTAATAATACTAATGGTATAGGGATAATATCTAAATCACCAAATATTAATATATTCATTTTCATACAATTTATAAATAATCCAAATTCCATAGACGTTTTTAATTTCATCGAAGAAACAATGATATTTGGATCAGGATAAGGAAGCTTTGAAATAAACAGAAGAAAATAAACAAACAAATGGTACAATGATATAGAAATTCTTGATTATATTCAGTGAGAAGAGGTTTTGTGAATATTATAGTAATTTTAATAGATAAGATCATGAGTCAATTTAAAATAAGCCACCATGAAAAACCTGGAAACACTGAACGACCAGTTCGTCCTACCGATGGATCCTGGTTTCAAATTTCGCAGCGCAGGATCCTGGATGCACATTGCCGAGGAGTCCCACAGTAGGACGAAAGAGCCATCCAGTGCTTCTAGGTTTTCCATGGCGGTCTATCTTCAATTGACTCATGATCTCATATGTTCAGTCAATTAGAAAACATCTAATAAAAGTGAGTGATATTTGTTTATACACAGACTAACTGATCAAACTCAATACTAACTTGAACTTGTAATCCTAAATTTTTAATACCAATTTTAATTACGTAATAATGTTTTGTTTCTTTATAAGTTGGACTCATTATTTACGTTTTGTAAACGACATTCTGTAATGATATGAATTGGTTTCTTTATTTCTGATTGGTTATCTGTTATTTTGTTTATTTATTTATTTAAACATTAGTAAAGTGAGGCAGAAAATGTATATGCGCCACAGGTCATTATTGGATTTGTGTGAGGGCAGGAATACTCTCCGGGTGCCTAAACCGAAGCAGGTTATTTTCAGTATTTCTCAATAAACAATATGAAGTTAATTAGTGATTTAATCATTCACATAATTGTAAAACAAAAATTTAGATATTAAAATCGCAAGTCATATCAATAGAAAGTAATCAGAAAGACAAACTAATATTCAACCAACAAAAATCAGTGGACAGATAATTTGAAAAAGCAATGATGATTGTTCTCGATTGATATGTAACACTAATAATCAGGTTATTATATTTTAAACTAGGAGATCAGGGTTCAAATTTAGCAAGGAACATTTGATCCTACCAGATTAACAGTAACGTTAAGTCTGTAAATTTCAATATACTGACTATAACTACTTTACTCCGTTCATATGAACACTCGGTAATCTATATTAAAGGTGGAAAAAATTGTAGTCATATAGTTTGACTTGAAGTCAAGTAGACGAATCTGTACTAAGTGAATAAGTTAATCGATAAAGTATCAGTTTTGAAGATGTGGGATTATAGTGGTTCAGTGGTCAAATTACTCGAATATATATTACTGTATACTCGTACTGTGGATCGTAATTGGATGACTGTTGTGTAATCAATTCAAGAACCTAAGAAGTATTGACATTTGAAGACACAAAGTTAAACATAAAAAAAACTACAACACTTCTACATATACATCACTAAGATAAGGTGGACTGCATTTATAAGAATGTTGATAGGTTTCCATAAAAGGTAAATTGTCGTATATTTGGTCCCTATTTAGTTGTGTTTTTAAAGCATAAATGACTAATCGCAGTGGGATTTATAACAGAATGTAAATTTTATTGTTACTTCAAAATAATCTCAATTATCTTCGACATCATTATGTTGCTTTATTAAACAAACAGGCTACATAAACAAGGGAAACGTAAACATAATACATTCTAATCTGAGTATATTGAGATTTTTCTTAACTTACCTGAAATAATTCTGTTTGATTAGACTGTGAAGATTTATTATTCGAATAACTACAGTTGTTACAACAATAATCACAATATTCTTTATTTAACTCTTGGATTACGTTAGTTAGCAAGTTACAATTCATTTTACTCAAATTAATATATACAGTTTGAATGTAGAATTCTATAATTAATTGAGTATTAATTGGTTCAGTAAATAACAGTAAATTCATATTAGAAGCAGGAGATGTAGATGATAATCGGTATGAAGACAGTAAGTTTCTCTTAGTACAATCATCTTCAGTAATATTATTATCGTCAGTGGTATGATTCAATATTATAGAATGCATCATAACAAAATCAGAAAAATTGAAACGAATTGATTGAAAACGTGAATTGAATGTGGAAAAACATTTTGAAAAATTTGATTTCACATAGGTTATCTGTTGATAAAAAGACAATAGAAGAAGTACCAATAAGATAAATTATTTTATATCGAAAAATTCTAAATATTTGAAAAGTAATAAACAATGGAATAATATCAAGTCAGTAGTAATCAATATGGACGCAGAGAAAAATGTGTACTAGCAAAAGCCATCATATTGCATTGATACCAAAAGTCAACTAACAATGATAGTTTACAACACTAAACATTCATATTCGAGAAGACGAAATGAAAAGGTAAAATAAAGAATGGATATATATATATATCAGTCATTCCCTCATCTATATCATTCCTTTTTAACCACTGATTGCAGTTCTTTCCCGGATCCAAACCAGTTAGTTTGCATCTATCAGGATAGCTAAAATCAACAGTCGATGATTTCATGAACTGCAACAAGGCTACTATAGTCGAGTACTGGTAAACTATGAATAATCTTGATTTATAAATGGTCTTTTCACAGAAATACAGACATATGGAGAAAACTGTTGCGCATTATGCTTGACGTATCATTTGCAGATGAATAACTGGCGCACACCACAAACGCAACGAGTTGAAAATCCATCAACCAATATATCTGAATACGTGTAGGGAATTCGTTAGACATCAACCCACTTTGGATGGTAAGACTTTTGAAAGAAGTGAAAAGGTAGATCAATTTAGGAGAAAATATAGGTTAGTCCTGAGGTTACATTTCGCACCTAGAAAGAGAGAAGCATCCTGAACATGCTTGGTTTTTCATAGCAGGTAGAACATTAACATGATAATTTCTTACTAAAAAGGTAACAGTTACTAGCTAATTGCGGAAGAATGTTGCAATAAATAATAAACAGCAGCACCAAGTATTTGTCATTTGAGTATGTTTGAGACGATGCAGTACACTTTCATTTCATCGTTGATAAAACATCTTGCCTATTAAATGGGAGAGCCTTCTAAATTTCTTGAGGAATAATGCGACCATGTCTAGGCTATATTTCTATCCTTCCAACTTGACAGTTATCATAATAAATGATAACAAGAAACTGATAATTACCTCACAAAACTGGCACCTGCATCTCAACAAAATGTGTTCGAACGATGTAGAACAACTAGTTATCCAGATGAACATCTAGAACGGAATTATACTTGTCATTTTAGTTAGTCACAAACGAAGTCACCTTAGCTAAAAAATCATTGGGAAGCGAGAAGCATTAAGTAGCTGTTTCGTTCTAACATTACACACCTACGACCTCGCTAATGATCACTGTACTTAGGATCATTAGGCCGCCTAGCGAACAGCCAAATTTAAGACCAATAGTTTACATTTCTAACTTTAATCAATTCGTGATATTGTATGCCTAACACCAGGATTATACTTTTTGTGGCAGTTACAGTTACATATTATTGACTACACTAATATAGAGACGAAATACTTGTTCACTGCTACTTAATTTCTAACATTTAGTTAATAAATACACTATGTAGTTTCGGAGGTTTCGATAATCTCACTTGTACACGCTTGAGAACTAATGATGTAACCAAAAAATGATTGTACAATTTTACTTTATTTTCATCTGTCATACATTTATGTCAAAATCCACAAAAGCCAAGGTAACCCCCTTTCGTCGACTTACATGTGCAGAAAAGTTTATTGGTGATATAATGATATGATCTCGTGATTTCTGTATGGTTGCTGGTAACATACTGTCATCCAATTTACAAGAGTCAAGCCAAAATTTAAGTAAAAATGAAAAATTCACCCACGAATCTGAATAGATAGTTGATGACGATGATAAATATTGTTCAGATAACATCTTCACGTTATCATTATTAGTGTAAAGAAATACACCGAAGTCTATAAAATATAACTGAATGGAATATGACTTGTTCACTTTTTCATGTTGTTTCATAGTAACCGAGGCATTGGACAATGATACATCACAGTATGAGGAATAATGATTAATTTTAATAACTTTTGTTCCAATTAATAAAAATTGATTAAATTGATTTGATTTACAGGGAATTAATATTAGTGGATTATTGAAAGTGATTGACAATTCAGGCCACTTGAATAATAAATCCATGTCATCCATAGATAATTGATCATTATTAGTGACAGAAGACTGATTACATAATAATGGAAGAATTTGTTTAAACCATACTAATATCTCATGTAATTCATGAATGAGATGTATATATACAATATTGGATAAACTAATCCGAAGATGCTTATTAGTTTTACGTGGAAAATAATTGGATGATCCAATCAATCCATAATGATATTCCAATGTGATCTGATTAGAATGATGATCTGAGGCGGATAATGAAAGAGCAGGTCCTAACAAATATTGATCAGTTGATAATTTTGAATTACGATAAGGTATAATTTGAAAGCATTGAAGCTTCAATAATACTGAATCTGATAAACCTAAATTAAAGAAAATATGTACCGTTTGATGAAAAAACTCACAAAAACAATTAGGTTATCAAAGCATTAAACACAGATGTATAAACACACAATAAGAAAATGAGGACTGGCTAAACCATGGACTGACTACAGCTCCATATAACCATTGAAAACCAAGGAGCACTAAACAGGTGTTTTGTTTGTTTTGGAACTCCATATTGAGAAGCCATAATTTTTAGGCTTCTCATCATAGTCACAATCTCCAATACGAACGTCGAGAAAGTTCTACTGTATGGAGCTGAAACTTGAATAACTACTACAACCATCATCAAAAATGTACAAGTATTTATAAACAATTGTCCACTCAAAATACTCAATGTCCGTCGGCCGGTTACTGTTAGCAACAACCTACTGTGGGAGAGAACAAATCAGCTTCCAGTTAGGGAGGAAATTAAGAAAAGAAGTTGGAGATAGATAAGACATACATTACGAAAATCATCAAACTGCATCACGAGGCAAGCGCTAACTTGGAATCCTCAAGTAAAAATGTAAAGAGGAAGGGAAAATAATACACTGAGCCGAGAATATGAAGCAGACATGAAAAGGATGAATAGCAACTGGAAAGGATTGTCCAGGACAGTTGGATGGAGAATATTGGTGGGCGGCCTATGCTCCTTCACGAAGGGTAACAGGAGTAAGTAAGTAAGCATTGATGTGGTATATATATGACAGATTCTAAACTACTTATCACTGACCAATTGATATGCATTACAAAAATTAAAACTTGAATAATAAAATTAACTGACCTGAATGATAGAAGTTTATTTGTAAACCGGAGAATACTATTTCGGCAATTCTCTTTACTGACACATTCCCATTTTGTTCTTGATGTTTAACGCCGGATTGATCGATTAATAATAATTTTATATTATCAACTGATAATTTAAACTCATATTTGATAGATGAAAAGGCATTATTATTATTATTCCATTTATTCATCAAAGGTATCCGATAACTATTCAGTTCAGAATCAATAGTACAACATTCCACGGATGATGCTGACTGATCAGACATTGTAGAACAGTAGAGATTGTTTAAAAATTCATGGATAGATTTTACAGTAATTGGATTACCTAACAAAGAAAATCAGAAAAGAAAAACACACACACACACATGGAGGATGACAAAGACAAAGTCAAGTTCAACTTTATGGCAGAGAAAAAAACAAGATTAAAAGAAATATTATGTTTCCATGTACACAGATCAAGTTATATAGTTGATTTAATTGACCAATGGAAAGTAGAATGTAGAGAAAAACTAATTGAGAAGAATATTTATTTACATAACATGTGAATTAACCTTTTTTGGTTGGCGTTTACTTTGTTTATAGTACACTGATACACTAATCAATGAACTGATTAATGCAAAGAGAGAAATTTAAAAAAAAGCAAGAATCTATAATAGGAGATAATCTTGAGAACATTATTCCATTTAATTTAAAGCTTGTAAAATACTAACATTTGCTTTTGTTCCTGGTTTAGTCTATAAATCATGAACTATCTATTGATGTATGATTGCCTATTATACTCTTTACTATTCCTAAATTATTGAAATTTGAACGTAACATATTGTAATTCATTTTTCTATCCTAATGTTTAATTTGGACATAATTGTATTTTACTGATAACTTTTATGTTGTAGTCGTGTTAATTATCTAGTTATTCATGTGTTGTCTGAATCAGGATTGAATTGAGTAGCGTTTCAGAAAACTCGTCCACTCCTTTTGATTCTCTCTTGCTTGCCAACTTATCAGGTGATAGAATAATTCTCATCCTTCTGGCCTCAGGGTCATCTAGCCACAAATCCGATATATTCACTGTTGACCTCCCAGTTAGATTGAATAACTTATCATGTCATGGATGTAAACTAGTTCCAGACAAATTCTCATCTGCATACTAATAGACAGACGGATGAAAAATGTAACACTGAAGGGAGCTGAAAGAGATAATGATATTTACGCAACTCCTTTCTATCTAGATAACGATAATGATAGTTTACTTATGATTATGTAACATTTCAGTGGATTTCTGAGTAAGAAGTTTATCAGTAATGATGAATTTTTCTAAATGAATCATTTACAAATAAGAAAAAAGTTCCGAAATAAAACTTTGCCGTGAATAAATTTGCATTCAGGTCAATAAGGTTATGTAACAACTTTATTGTTATGCCCCAATAAGAATGATGAGTGGTAATTTTTGGGATCCATTTATGGACCAGTACTATACGTATATTTTATCGTATAATTGTTAAATAACTAAACCGTTCATATTCATGTCCCTCTTATTACGAGCTTTATTTTAACCTATGAACAATTATTATACGATTTACCATTCTTGAATTATTCCCTGTTTATTAATCACCACCTACCTCATTCACATCCACTTTTGGCCAGTTTTTGTACAAATGTTATTTTCTATTTTATGGTACGTTGTGGTCTGCTTGTTTGGTATATAAACCGAGTATGTTGGAAATACATGATTCATATCGTAGAGGCTCAGATTGGTGTTCTGGACTTAACTGGCTGGGCTAGGCGGAAAGCAGGACCAATCAGGACTTCAGGCTGCTCGTACGGGTTTACGCGTCATTGATCCGACCGATAAGTCACTGCCCTCTAATCGGCGATCACAAGATTGAAAAACTTATACTATACCTTGAAAAAAACTGACAAACCTCTTAAAAACCTACTGAATTCTAACATGTTAACATTACTTCTAGTGCAAAATACTTTTGACTAATATAGATTTTTTTAATAATTAGCTAAATATAGAATTCAAAATCATATGATCATTATAAGAATCTCTCAAACTCGTTTCTATACTACAATACATTTTACCTACAAGGTAACCCAATTAGTTTGCACAGAATTTTTACAAACTGAAACTAATTGACGAACTTTTGAAAGATTTGGATACAACGAACCATTATTTCATTACAACTTGAAAAATTAATATACAATTCCTGAATTACCAGTATAAATATATATTAACTAAAGAATTAGTTAGACTTGAATAAGTCATTCATTCATAAAATATATGTCTTAACTCTCTGTAGGATATAAACACGATCACTTAAACAAAGTTACTAACTAGTTAACAAAAGTAGAATGACAACGTAATGGACAATCTACCTCATTTTGTAATAATTTTATTATTTTTATTTTAACACAGATATTGGTACAAGGAGGCACCGAATACATATGCGCCACACAGATCTCATTTGGTATGTGTGAGGGCTGTGATACTGCCTGGGTGCCCAAGCCGAAGCAGGTGGTTTTCTTAGGGGGCTACACCCCGAGCCTTCGACCTGAAGATCTGATCCACAAGGCAGTGGGGCATCGTAAGGAGATGCAATCCCATGGTAGCCGGTGACCAACGATTGGTTCATACTCCATTTGTTCCTTCAGGATACTGGAGCCCATGTGCACCATTGGTTTGGGATCCGGTTAAAGCGCCGGACATTCGCTTTTCGTCCTCTCATTTTCGTAAACAACACCCCCGCCACGAGAAGGCAATGAGTAGGACTTCCCTAGCAGAGGCTATATACGCATGGCCATGTGAGAGCATTTCGAGAGGGTGAGTGGACTCTCCCCACTCTCGGCCGTACCAGGGTATTTGGGGGCCATTTTGTAATAATGAGTCAATTGATCAGATTTTCACATGATAAAAGTGTATCTTAAAACGAATTACCAATACTTAATAAATGAGTTACATCAAAAATGAAATATTCAAATGTCAATTATTATTATTATTATTATATAAAAATATTACTCACCAATAATATTGAAACAGTGTATATTTAGTTGAATGAAATATGTTTTAATTGAATGAATCACTTCATTATGAGATAAACAATCAGCAGATGGAAACCATGATAGAGTACCCGTAATAAAATCATAAGATTCCTTGACTAAAATATTAGTACATTTAATATAAATTATGAAATAAAGTGAAAAAGAACTAAACTACAGACAGTATTAATGTAATTACCTAAGAAAATGTCTTATAATTCATAACCAAAGAAATCAAATTATATCGCGTTAGAAACATTTCGATAAAAAGTACTGAATTCAAAATTATCCAAATTGATATATGTAAGTAATTACTTTGAAAAATAGCTAACACTGAACAGGTCAGAATAAATTGCTCAGCAGACTCGATCACAATTATGTTGAAGAGATTATACTTCAGTAGTGATGTGAATGACTGGTCGTTTCCTTAGTTAGACTAGTACATCGTAGACGCTACAACCAATGAAGAACAATCCCTGTTTGAGTGGAGAAAGTTATCTACATCAGACAATGGGGGGAAGATTGCGAGATATCATGGATCGACTGAAGTTAGACATTACCGGTTGAATACAATCCAGAGGTCTAAAGATTAAGCGTTTGCACACGAGAGACAAGGCCCACGGCTCGAGTCCCACGTGCACACTCCTTAAGAGAACCATAGTGACAAGATAATCATCGAGTGCGTCAACGTATTCAATAGTGGTTGATCGATTGATGAATTCAGCTATTAGAATCCGAAGTCATATTGGAATTAGATACCTGAGTTTTTGAGGATGCTGACATATTTTTAACCAACAATTCGAAGAGAGCATTTTGCTATTGTAATAAAGATTTCAGATCATCCATTTTATTGATGTAAAACTCACTTTAACTGAATATATAGACGTAGATCCGTTTCAACCACCTTAGCCACTGAAATAACGCTCGGTTTTGTCCCTTACGAATATCTACACTAGATACCTTCCCAGCGTCTATTCTACAGGACTTCAACACAACCCAGATCAAGAAGTGACGAGTTTGACTAGAATGTAAGTATATTTCCACGCCGAAAACCGACAACAAAAATTAGTTATAATAAAGGTAGGAAAATATATAATTCATCCAATACCTATCAGACTATCTAGTAGCCTGACTAAGGAAATGAATAATCATTATTTACTAAAGATAAAACGATAGAGAGTATAAGATAAAATTGAGAAATAGTTACGAGACAAAATAAAGACGTGATATTACTCTATAAAACTAATTCAATTGGTTCAATTTGTATTTATAAATGAGAACTATCAACCTATGATGACCAATGATTCAGTCATATTGTATTGTTGAGGATTCCAGTTGAAATGTGTCAAAATTGGTAGAGGAAACAACAGTATTAATGGTAGTAGAAACACGTAGGCAAAGATCATAAGCATCGAAAATAAGGAAAATTATACAGGTATAAAATAATTTAAAAGCCAACATTTAACAAAAAACAAAGAATTTATGCATTTATGCCATTAGGATTGATCCTCAGCCATATTATCCAAATATTGATTGCGATAATCAGATGGAACTTAACTATAGTTTTCACCTATTAATATATCTCACAATGGAGTGACTCCAAGTTCTAATTTATCCACCCCCAACTTTGTTTGAACGTCAGCCAACATCACACAGTTACGAATATATTTGTTTTATGATTTATTCATTTCGTTACTAGTTATTAAGATGCACCAATACTATTGTAGGTTTCGATTGATACAGTTCACTTCACTTGTTTTCTGTTAGTAAACTATAACAACTCAATACAATATTTAGAAATGATCCAATTAATTCATTTTATCAGTAAACAAAGTAACTTACCATTGAATACTTTTTCAGGACAGATATGATCCAATAAAGGAATACAACCAATTGTTGATAACGTAGAATTTACGCTTAAAACATTACATATATGAGATGAACTAACATTGTTATCATTATTAGCTTGGTCATTTAATCGAATAATTAGATCAGGTGAATCAGTACTGTAATAAAAAAAGAGAAAATAATAATGAACAATGTAAAGAATCAAGTCTAATTTCAAGATTAATTTAGGCAGTAGGTAAAAATTTATGATGAAAATAAATTTGATGTGATTTTCATTGAGTCTGTAACTTTCAGAAATCAACTACATGATCATGAACTCCAAACTATGATCTACTATTCACTGGTATAAAATTGTGACATTCAATTGGTTGCTTAGACTGAAATAAGGGAGAAATATATTTTGAACAAATTTGTTGGAAGCTAAATGATTTGATTTCCAAACTATTGTTCCAAAAGGTATACTTCAATCGGTATCAATAATTAATCAAAAGCCAAATAATCTGTGATAAGTTAGGGATTTTATCGAAAGTGTGAATTAGACTCAGCTCTCGGTTATGTTGATTTGAGTAAATAAGTAGTAATATCATTAGCCCTCATTCATGTAATCGTAAAGAATGTGAGTTAAATGGTTTATAATAAATAAAGCAAGTAAATAAAAAAATAGGCCTTTTATTTGCAGAATATTAAGCAATGTATACAAACCTTTTAATTTTTTCATCAGAATTCACAATCACATCGTATACACCACCTAAATTGCTTACGGCATCCACCATCGAAATTCTATTCAGCTTAAATTGTAAACAATAGGGAGTAGGTGAACCATGATAGACTGATAAACTGCAAACTGCTCCATCTAGACGACATTCTGCCAGAGGACGATCTACATGTAAGTAACAATTGTATAAAATAAAATATCTTTCGACTAAACTGTTAGTGAATGTATTAAAAAACTCCAAATTATGTTTGGTAAGTGGGGTTTATGGTGATTGCCGAATTTTGTAGGCTACATTATGGGTCATTGAACACACGGATGTATTGAATAACAGTCCCAATTTAGTATGGAAATTCTCAGAAATATGCATCCATGACCTTAATAAAGATCTAATCCAAGACCTCCAGTTCCCACAGAGTGCTTAACCCTGAGATTAATGAGAGCTTCTAGGGAGTCGCATACAAATGAAAAGTAGATCAGTTGTTATTCAATATCACTTTCTACGGTCTAGATTTTGTAAATATTACAAAATAATGTTAAACAACACATCAGCAAACCGCATTTAGAACTCTTCAAGGCCTGAATACCCAAGGCCCTCAAACTTTGTAGTAAGTCAGTTACGTCTAAACCTCTGCTTCAAAATACAATGGTCCATGTTTATAACTTCAGCTAATTCAAAATACTTCTGATCTGGTTGAATTCTATCGTTCTTTAGACTTTGCGCTACTAATATGAGGATTCATCTCAAGGCTAGTCACTGAAAAAGTGCATTAAAAATTATAATAATAATAATAACAATTGATATGACCAAACCTTTTGATTCAAACTGAATAATGAATGATTGGATGGAATAAGTTGCGATAAGTTTTTTTCGTTTAAAATCAAATATTGTCGAAGACGATAAATTATCAGCTGATTTCTTACTGCAACAATTCCTCCAATGACAACAATTACATAAACACTGGGATACAGATATGCTTGTATGATGTGATCTATGTTTAAATGTATTACAATTAGAGTGTACATTTGAATCGGAAAATGATATGCTGTGATTACGAGTACGATTGAATTTTTTCATCATTGAAGAATATTTCCATTTCATTGGTTTAATTCGATTTAATTGACACTGAGATGCTTTTAAACAGGAGAGCAAATCCGATATTTTTGTATTTGATAAATGAACGACACATGATTCGTGCTTTATTGTTATCCACAAATATGGAGGATAATCTAATGATGATGATCCAGGACTTGATTTATAAGTGAGATCTTTCATGCAACATACTCGACGACTGATCAAAATACGTAAACTAAATGGGTTGATTAAACATAATCGAGAAATCATTGTAGAATTGCTTACACGTAAAACAGATTGATCGTCGAAACTGAGTGAATTATTACTCCCGAACGGTAATGTATGTCCAGAAGCTAGAAAAATATGAGATAATGGTGAAATAAACCTTATTTCAACTTTCAAAGAAATTCGATGAAGGGGTATAGGTACTTCTCAGTAATCAATAAATCAGGAGTAAATTGCAAGATTTTAATCCTAAAAACATCATTCCCATGAACAATAAAATATCATCGAAAACAACTGAAAACTGCTTATGTATAGCATAACTTCCTAGACAAGGTTATTTTCTATGAATATCATCAGATATGATTAATGAGGAAATAAAAAGCAAATCGATGGGAATCATACAGTGAATTTTTAAGAAACAATATGATAAATCCCCCAAAGCAAAGAAATCTAAGCTGATTATAGTAAAACTCCAACTGCGTCTTTTATTAATTACTTCCGTGGTGGTTGATTTAAGTATTTGATGTTCCTTATTTCGTCTAAAGTATCACTTTGTACTCAGTAAACCTAGCCGCTTTTTATTTTGTGAACTAAATACTTACTGGAGTGCACACAAATTCAGTCAGGATCCTAGAATATGTTACCTACTAATCGCATTGGACGATGATCACTTGATACCGCGATTCAATCAAAGTTCAATCACCTGATGCCAATAGGGTAGTACGAAGGTTAAGCGCAAGGCGCGAGACCTGAAAGTCATGGGTCAAAACTATGATGGGTCCTAGTGAAGATTCTAATATCAGGGCGAAACAGTTATCAAGTGCTTCCTGGCTATTATTGGTTATTTGACTAAGATGAGTGGTGTAAATTATAAAATTTAACAATTTATATAAAACTGCTTCCTCTATAATTAATTATTTTTCTTAACATTTTCAAAGATTAATTGCAAATTGTCTATCATAAGCTGACGAATCGTACAATATGGAAACAGTAAAAATCTATTCCACAAAAGAACTGTTTTGATCTAAACGCTTACTCAAAGAATGAATGGAGTGTTTTGCCTACATTTTGTTAGGTTCCAGAAGGCCAGTATAATTGATTAAGTCAATGTCCGGTCACCCACTAGGTGTCAATCAGTCAGTAACAACGTGGAACTTCGTACGTATGTACATTAGTTAGAGTTGCCATACCACCCACTAGGTGTGACACACATCATTGGTGTTATACGATATTTTTCTTATAATAAAGATCAACCTATGTGAGAATTAGTGACACTTTCTGAGTAATTGTCAAAATAATAATAAACGTAGATGGTTGTCTACCTTAAGATAATATTATGTATTCGATCTTGAATGTAATTTCATGTATGAAGATTGGTTATTATCACCCGACTTTAATTAGTCAGGCGGTCACAAAGTATTAACACAAGTTCTAGTACTGAATCACCATGATGACATGAAATTTACTGGTACAGAAGTCGAAACAAATGCAGGAGTAATGATAATGAGAAAGATCCAACATCGAGAATATGGCTCTAACAAAATGATTAAAAACGTATGCATAAATGAATGTTGAGAACCAAGATATAGATTGAATACATCGATGTCACTGTGACCGATATGGCTCAAACTAACAGTCAATGACATCATCACGCACAAATGTAAGTATATACTCCCGTTTTTCAACAAGTAAACAGTTGACGAAAAAAAAGCAGTACTTCAATCAATATGAACAGGCTCCTACTGGGTTTAAATACATATTAAAGAAACACTAATTACGAGTGTCTTGACTTCACCCTCAAATACTTAGATTACATAAGGCAGAAAGGTTGGTCATCATCTCACCACCTTGCAATATTTCATACTCAATAAACACTGTTGCCACTCTATAAAAAATATAATTTTACAGATAGCATATAATGAAATGAGACAGCTGGAGATAACCCTGAACCTGGGTTACTTGCCAAATGGCACTCATCATAAAAACGTACCTGCAGTCTTGAGAGGGCTGATGCCTTCTGTGGGATCCGAATCCGAATTACGCACCTTCACAGTTAAAGATATACTACTAAGCTATTAAGACCGCCTAACGTTTAAATATAGTGTACAAAATATCGAGTCATTTAAACTGGTGGTCATATCGTAATTTAATGGATAGAATTCGATCAGAGCTAAAAGAACTAGGCAAACATAACGTTGTTCACTACTCAGTAGTCAATCAATTTTCAAAACAAAAATACAAGATCAAAATACATACATTTAGGTTCTATTAAATTTTCTTCCTCAAGATTGTAACAATTCCATAAATTTAATTTATTGAGTAAGTCCAAACAACCAACCAATACTCGTATATTTGTAACATTGACCGTATACGAGACATAGATATCATTGCTATTGTCTATCAATGACAATTTCTCACTGGGTTTGTCTTTATCATTTACACCGGTTTCAGTTTGTCTAAGTGAAACAGGAAAAAAAAGTGTCATACGGGAAAACAAAACAAATACTACTATTGAGTAATCATCACATTGAAGTAAAACGGAATTAATGTTGAACAAGAATCATAATGAGTATATCAATCAATTTTTGGCTTTTCATACCGTCATATCACCCGCCCTTTTTTGAACACTCAAAGTTTAGATCCTTACATTCTCCTTCTCTACGAAATAATGTTGGGTCAGGCATTTTAGTACTTCTGGAGAGATTTGTGGCCCACAGCTTTACACTTCCTGTAACTATGTTGTTTATAAAGACAACCTCGTACATAATGCCATGAACCACTGTGCCGGCATAGGGCAGGGGGATTCGTCTTCACCTGTTGGACTGAATTCGAGTATAGCTAGGGCGAATTTAGCCGAGTTGGGTGGTTGTTGGACTACATGTACTTCAGGGCGATCGGAACGACCACGCTGGACCATCATAGTGTCGCGCTGCAAATTGATTGGACGTTGATATTCACTTGCAATAACATCAAAAGTCAACCTAGAGTCCTAGTTCAATCGACACAGCAACCGCGCTCTGATGTCACTGAACTTTTGAGATTGGATGCGGCAGATGAGAATAACGGCTTTGAACTGGTCTTCAGTCAGCGGCTTCAACTGGAAGCGCTTGCGTTCGCAGTTGACGATGCCCACATGCGACAGCAAATCGGCATCTTCGTTCATAGATTCAAACATCGATAGCGCGTATTGAACAGTGAGAATTTATTTCCGAACTGTTGGCTCAATGACTGCACGGTGACTGAAAACGAGTGGT